CAAAACTTTACAGCCTGTATTCCTAAATCTGTCGGTATATTTGTGTATAAGCTCACAACATCAAAGGTAACCAGTTTTGCATTTTGTTGACATTACTGGGGAGGTGGTTTAGAAAGTCGAGATCATCTCTAACATAGCTAGTTACCTTTTTGCAGAGAGGTTTCAAGAGAATATCCAGTAATTGACTGAGTCTCTGTGTAGGTGCATTAGGTCCTCCAACTATCGGTCTAAAACTCAGGTCTACTGGATCTGGACAGATGATGTATTCCTTGTTTTGATTTTTGATAGCTTCCTTTATCATAGCGGATTTATGCACTTTAGGAAGTCCATAAAATTGGCTTTCCCGGAAGTCGAAATTAATTAGATAGTCCTTCTCTTTTTCTGTTACGTCTGGGCATAGGGGTCCATGAATTAGACTTTTTATTTTCTTCATGGTTTTTCTATCATCATTTCCATGAATTTGTTTGTAAAAGTTGTTATCCTGCAACATGTCCATAATTTTACTCTTGTAAAAATGGTTGTTCATTATAACAACTGGGCCCCCTTTGTCGGCCTCTTTGATCACAATATTTGGATCCGTTGAAAGATTTCTCAGTGCTTTTTCTTCCTCTTTAGAAAGATTTGCCTTTATGTGCTGAAAATTCACAGGTACATCCAGTTTCAAGGAAAAGAATTGTTCAGTAACAAAATGCAATGACCCGAGATGCGGTACCTGCGACTATATTTTGGAGGGAACCAGCTACGACTTCCGGGGCCGAAATTTCACAGTAAATGCTGACATGTCCTGTGAAACTAAGAACCTAATCTATGTCATATCATGCCCGGGTTATAACGAATTTTATATTGGAGAAACTAGCACTACACTAAGAGCTCGGGTAAGAGTCCACAAACAACATATTAATAACCCGCAATACAGACAAATTAAACTTAGTGAACATTTAGATATATGCGGGAAGAGACAATTTACCGTTTTCCCGTTCTATAAGATGTCTGGAAACCAAATTCAACGAAGAGAAAAAAAAAACACTTTATTACTACTTTAAAACCAAAGCTAAATAGCATTGTTTGACTTTCCCGTAATAACTGCTGGGAGAATTACGTCATAGAGACTGTATTACGTTCCGCTAATTATGACGTCATAGAAGGCGTTACTATGTGACAATTAAAAAACTTTATTGTAAAGCATCTGAAGATTTTTAAATGAAAGCGCTAATGCTTTACTTTGTTGTCTTCGTGTTTTCTTTTTAATTATTTTTTACTTTACTACTATACCGACCACTGTGAATTCATGGACTTCTGATATATATATATATATATATATATATATATATATATATATATATATATATATATATATATATATATATATATATATATATATTAGAAAAAAATGACAAGGCAACAATGTTAGTAAAACGTTAATGTGAGGATTTCTTTCCTATGTAAGTTGTCCCATTTTTTCTGACTAAGTTTCCATAAGGATTGAAAGACTTCCTGGGTCCCTGTCCAGGATGTCTGTTTCTTAATGCTTGTTTTTCTGTTGAATATCCTCCCTGAGGTTGTTGGAATTTGTTCTTGTTATACATCATTGTCGAATGATTATCATTTCCCCGATGCAGCATCTTCCCTGTTTTTCTCCCATTCTTTGAAGCAGGGATTTGAAACGAATTTCTGTTAATTTGCTGAGATGTTTCCTTGTAACTAGATGTATTTTTTGGTCTACTGGCTGCTTCAGCATAGCTCAATTCCTGTTGGCTTGAGTTAGTTGCTGGAACTGTTTTCTCCCTCTTCTTTTTTGTTGTAAACTCAAGACAACAGGAACTGAGCTATGCTGAAGCAGCCAGTAGACCAAAAAATACATCTAGTTACAAGGAAACATCTCAGCAAATTAACAGAAATTCGTTTCAAATCCCTGCTTCAAAGAATGGGAGAAAAACAGGGAAGATGCTGCATCGGGGAAATGATAATCATTCGACAATGATGTATAACAAGAACAAATTCCAACAACCTCAGGGAGGATATTCAACAGAAAAACAAGCATTAAGAAACAGACATCCTGGACAGGGACCCAGGAAGTCTTTCAATCCTTATGGAAACTTAGTCAGAAAAAATGGGACAACTTACATAGGAAAGAAATCCTCACATTAACGTTTTACTAACATTGTTGCCTTGTCATTTTTTTCTAACATTATTTACCGGACACTGTGCCAATTCTTTTCATTTTGGATATATATATATATATATATATATATATATATATATATATATATATATATATATATATATATATATATATATATATATATATATTTTCCTAAAAAAATTCACCCGGCTTGGTATAATTTTCCTAAGTTTATATTAAACTTTTAGCATCAATGTAACATATTCTGAAATTTGTTTTCACCTGTAAACCTTTACCAGTGTGATGTGTCTATATTTGTTTTTTTTATTGATATACATGTATTACTAATATTTTCCAAGTCTATTTAATTTTCCAGTTCTTAAGATAAAAAATTCTAAGAATTGATATTGAATACTGTTCGTTATTTCCATATCCTTCTCTTATCCACTTTTCTTAACTCGTGACATGATATTAAATATCTTCCAATGAAAAAAATTGTTTGTATCATCTGACCTTAAATCTCTTTCACATAGATATACAGCTCAACGCACGTTTTAAACTCACATGGCTTTTCGCACCAATTAATGTCACATTGTTATAATGCAAATTTGTAACGCGACAGTAAAATATATTTCTTAGGTAATCTATAACTTAATTTTGATCTTAATCCATTATTTTAAACACGGTTCAAACAAAATGTTTGGTAGGAATTTTATAATATGCTCTTGGTTGATAGAATATGACAGTTCCCAAATGTTTTTATGGTTTCTCGTCAAATGCTGCCAATTTTTTGTATCTGTTCATTTTAAAGCATACCATTGTCTTTGCTTAATACAGAAACATGGCAATTCATATAACTTCTGTATTTTCTGTACACGAATATGACACTAAGTCCCAAGATGATAGAAGTACTTCTCGTCTGTTCGACTGCTTTACATGTTAAAAAGATGATATTTTTGCACGTTAACCTTCTGAAATCTAGCATCATGAAAGATACATTCCAAAGCAGAAATTCAAGGTTTTAGACCGTAAATGTAAAAGAATTTTCTTTTCAATACTAAAAATTTACTATGTTAAAAGACAAACATTATTTTATCCTATCCTTTGACATGATTTCTTTATGCAGTTTTATCATTTTTCGGTGCTGCATTTCGGCAAAACCAAGACAAGTATGGAAAATGTGCAAAGTAATTAGAAAAATGCTCATCTGCAAGAAGGCAATTTGAGCATTTCAACTAAATAGTTTCAACGAATGATTGATTAATTAATATGTAATTACCTATGGTAGAATCATACTCATGTAACATCATATAATTTATGAAAAAAATACCTTTTCAAAAAAGGAGTTTTAAAACTTAAGATAATGATTTAAGAGAAAATGAGCATTTTACATAAATATTCAATAATATAGGGGTTATGTCTCGTACTGAATCTCGATGATTTTAATTTTTATTGCAAATGTGACCTTATATTGTGCGAAAAACCATGTGAGTTTAAAAAGTGTGTTGAGCTGTATAAGACATATAAGCAAATATATTTTGAATATTTTATCTATAGTCAGAAACCATAGAAGAATCCTACTTTAACGATGACTTAAAGGTATATATTTGAGCAGTTTCAACTTTCCATGTCATTCCACAAAATTATAATAACATTGTTTAGTAAAAACTAAATGCACAAATTGTGTGTAATTTTACTGTGTTAACACAACAAAATATGAAATATGGAATATTTATTTCAGGATAATATTCTTTGCGCCACGTAACAAACCAGAATATAGAATAGTAAATAAATATATACACGTATCTATAAAGTATGATTAGGTATAACAAAATGAGATCTATCTAGTGAGCATAATACATAAATGGCAAATAAAAAGACGTGTTATAACAGTTAACTGTTAGGCCTTTTTGTAATATTTGAACGCATAAAATTACTAATGAGTCATATTTCTCTCGAGAAGGCTTAATATACATATATTATACAAAGGTTCCTTTCAAAATTGTGAAAATCCATGGTCTTGTTACAGACAATGTAGTATGAATGTCTTCTCATTAACTTTTTAAAAGATATGATCAAAAATAAGTTTTGAAAATTTTGCAAAAAATTGAATCAAACTCAAAAGGTCAAGAGGTCCAGTATGTTGGTACCCGAAGAAATTTCTTGTCACGAAAAATACCTATAAAATATATATATAAAATTATGGCAAGATTAAAATTTTGCTGAAAAACAGACATATAAACGGATGGACAAAGCAAAAACTTTAAGTCTCTAAATATTCCATTACAGAGTATAAAAAAATACATGTATACGGAAAGAAGAAGGTATGGTTTAAGCTTTATTGCGCCCTAAAAATGAAATGACATCAAAAAGTATTGAAACCGGCTTAAATGTTAGTTAAATGAATGACTATGATAAATCAGGAAAGAATATGGCATGAAGGTTTACCATTCTGCATATATGACGTCATTAATGTGAAGCATTTCTCTATTTTCAATGGAAAAAGCCTCAAAATGGCACATTTCAAGGGTAATTTTCCTTTAGAAAACAGTGTCCACAGCTGTTGCCCACGTTAATTTTTTGATATTTTGTGCAAAATTCAATAACAAATCACATATCTCAAGATCTTTGTGGGCGATGCCTGTGGACAATGTTATCTGAAAGAAAATTCCATTGAAAATTGGTGTCATCTGCAACTTTTTAAGAAAATACGGGAAAATGCATTTGTTTATGACGTCATAATTAGCATTTAAAAACACATGTGAGAAAAATGACTTGCATGATTTTTCTGCATTGAATTTCAATTATTTAAAAAGCATGAGTTTTCAACTTTTATACCAGTTTCATTTTTGAAAATCACAGGGCAAAATTTGTATTGAAACCATACCTTCTTCTTTTATATGTTTACGGAAATTCATACATATAAATCATATGTTTTTATTTGACTTTCTAAAATCAGGGTTGATTCTTTGAATTTTAACTTCATTGTATGGGAATGTCATTGCTGTGTGCCGAGTGTCCCTCGAAATTCGTAAAGGTCGTATAATCTGGTGTCCTTCTCTTTGCAAACAAAAATCTGAATTTAAAAAATGAAATATTATATATTCGATTTAGTCATACTCATTTATATTTTATCAATTTTCTAAAATCATTTTAGAGTTTGTAAAGTTTCCCTTAAATGTAAAATGAAGAACCATAATTAGAAATTTATCACTTTGTCTCATCTATAATGATCTTGAAAATTTAAATTGATTTTGATTTTTTATTAAAAAAATTTAATACAGTTAAATTATATTTTATAGACTCGAATTACACTATCTGTCTTAACGTTAATGTTCAATATACCATACGTAATTATTTTTTAATATATTACGTGTACATGTATTTGCAATGCAAATAATCTCCAACCTGTAAATAATAGCTGCTACCAATGCCCCCGCGGTTGGCCCCGCCCAGTATACATAGTGATGTTCCCACACATTAAATTCCAGATATTTGGAGTAGGATGCAGCCGGTCCTAAACTTCTTGCCGGATTCATAGATCCACCAGTATATTGCGCCCTGTTGTAAATTTGTAAATTAACTTTCAAACCACGTCATCTTGAGTTCAGTTTATTTTAGGAAAACTCCTGCTATACACTATAATCCAAATATTAATAAAATACTGCTCCCATAGGAAACTTTGATTTGTTTCTTAATGTCTTCAAGTTCTCACTGTGAATGTCTAGGACAAGACCAGGCCAGAAAAGTCACGCATTGTTTGAAAATCATGTTAAAAAATAAAATGTTAGAGGACATTTGTTTTAGTATCGTAATAATATCATTATTATTTCAGGTATTATTAGTTACATAGTCTTTTAGTGACAGGGTATGGGATGATACCTGGTTAGTAAATTTCATACCTGACGAGGCGGAGCCGAGTCAGGTATGAAATTTACTAACCAGGTATCATCCCATACCCTGTCACTAAAAGACTATGTAACGAATTTACCCCACCGATGAAACATTTACGTTTTATCTGTGGTTTATAAATGATTTTCTCTGCGAACTGCTTCATCACGCTTATACTGTGCCTATTATGACGTCACGTTATGTTTGTTACGTAATACATCGACCGTGTATAGATTTACAACTGACCGGGTATAGATTTGCAACTGACCGTGTATAAGTAATCCACTGCTTTCACGTGACAGACTTTAACCAATCGTAAGCCAGGATTTCACGGAAAAATCAACAGAGGTGGGGTAAAAATGTTTACAACGAATCAGGGGCTTTAGCTTGAGAGAATGCCCCTCCATTAGCGCTGAGCTGGTAACAGGTCACATGTTTCGTTTTCTGGAAAATGATAAGTTCATAGATTCCCTCGAACATTTTGATATGTATAAGACGGTGGGTAAATATGACGCACAGAATGCCTATATTTCTGAGTATATATGTTACATGTTTGCACAATTTATAGTCCGAAATATCTGAATTTTCCAGGCTTTTTTGCGATTTGTGCCAGGAAAATGCCAGAAACCGGCGCAATGTCAAGGACAGGAAATCGGCTGTCTCCAACCGGGGTTGATTTTTGACACTTGCGAACTGACTTCAATGGTGAACTCACAATTTTTAAATAACCAAATGACGACCCATAAGGTCATGTTGATGAGTATTTTATCATTGAGTTGTGCGTTTAACATTCAATTCGGTTCGCAAGTATAGAAAATCAATAAAAGAATACAGCCTCTGGTCAGAGTCGAAGAATTCCCAGTTCCAAAATATTAAAATCGTTAAAAAGGCTGGAAAGTGACAACTATTTCGGACTACCTAGTATTCAATTGTACAAATTTTACATTATGTATACTTTAATATCAGATGAAATATCAAAGGAAAATTTCATATAATTAAGATTGATTTTTTTTCACTTTTATGTTTGTTTATAACGCTCGTCTTCTTCGCTTATCTTCTTCATCAATATGTATACCTGTCATATGTAAATCATTTATTACCAGCATACCATTGGTCTTTAAGTCTTACCCAGACATAGCACAAGCAATGACCGAGAATCCAACAGCTAATGGTGACATTTTTTTCTTCGTTTTATCCAGCGCTGTGATACAAACAGTCAAAGTTACTATAAACGTAAGGATGCCCTCTATCAGAACTGCCCAGCCAGGTTCTGTCTCATTTATAAGCATTGTTGCTCCACCGATGAATTGTGTGTATTTATTCGTCGGAACAGCAGCCTAAAGGAAAAATGAAGTTAAAAAAATTACTTAACTTTACATTGCTTTTAACTAATGATTAAAATGTCAACAACTACAGGCACGCATCGCCGTTTTCTTAGTCCGAGGGGAGAGAAAGGGGTGACAATTAAAACAAATAACGGTAATCAAAGATTACATGATGTATGAAGCTCACCTCGACGAATGTTGTATATACGTAAGATAAATATCAAAATCCTTTTCTTAATAAGTGAGCGCATGATTGCATCCCGAGATCTATGCACGTTTGGTTTAATTATTTCTTATATTTACTTGAGAATGGACCTGCTTAAAAACTTAAACTTATTTACTTATCAAGAAAGATGTTTGTTAGTTCAAACATATGAAACAAGGCTGGACGTTTCCATCCTAAACGTCATTATCCATGCAAGTTTAATGATAACAAGCAATAATATTTATAGCTACTTAAAACCCTTATCATGGTCAATCGTTTGTAAAAATTTATTTTAGATTCAGTAAAACAAAGCTTGTATGGAAGTCTCAATCAGTAGATACGACATCCAAACTAATTTGGTTAAGGTCAAGATCTAGCAAATGACTTAAGACTAATGTTTTAGTGCTAGAGCCATTATGAACATACAAATTACCGTTTTCTGAGATCCTGTGGGCAATCGGGATACATTTCCTTTGTCGAACATAAAACAATTCCATATTCATGACTTGTTTTCTTAATGTTTCATTGAAAATGACAGTTTAAAATATGGTTTTTCATCTTGTTTTTCTACAAATTATACTCCAAAACACCTTATTTGACCAAGCTTGAGTTGTAAAACACCATTAAAGAAATTTATCTCTCAATTTTTAATGAATCTGTAGGTATCTTACAATTACTAGATCTTGACCTTAAAGTAGGGCTCTAATTACCTCTTAATTATACTGGTATCCTGAAAAATAAATTAGATCAATTTCAGGTTTGGAAGCAAGTCTGTTTACAAGTGTCAATCTCTAGATGCATCATCCGGGGAAGTGTGGTCTAGGTAGGCCCTATATGTTCGTGGGAATGAAACTGCTCCTTAAACTTTTACCTAGTCACTCATTTGAAAAATATTATTCAGATCAAACATCCAAAGCAAACCTGTAAAGGCCGGTATACACGATAAGATTTGTATTATAAGATTTGTATTATAATACAAAATCTTACTGTGTATACACTCTTAATACAGTGTATCGTACGATTTTTCGAATCTTTTAAAACTGTATTAAGAATACTAGGGCAATGCTCTATTTCTTAATATAAGTCTTAACTTACCTTTCACTTTCAACCAATGAAATGTACTCCCACTGGGGGTCATCTTATTTATATCATTACTAAAAAAGCACATGGTAAGTAATAATTATGGCCAACTTTACTGGTAAAGACATCGAAAAACTCGTGGTTTAAAAGCAAAGGGAAGAGGACGACTTGTGTCATATATAAGGCTGTGCATAGTACGATGATAGACTTTGCCATCAGAACCCCATCTTCCATTTTTATTATTCTGACAGAGAGAGAAATATGGCGGGGGAAAACACGTGGGAATACGTAGTTTATCTACAATCTTATAAGATTTGTATTAGCGTGAGTACAAGAAAGTATTATAATACTTGTATTATACTACAAATCTTATCGTGTATACCGGCCTTTACTGTCCATCCCTAGATACATCCTACATGCAAGTTTGGTCCAGTAGCGCTTTTAGTTATAAATAGTTGGGAATTAACCAACATAAAAAACTTTGAGCTGGTTACTCATCTGGAAAATATAAGCGAGTCTGTAAGTGTCCATCCCTCGATGCATTTTCAATACATAAGTTTGGTCTTCAAGGGGGATCCAGGAATAATGCATTTTCAATATAAGTTTGGTCCACGGAGGGGATCCAGGAATCTTGAAAGGGATGGCAAATTGGAGTCTGATCTGGGCCCACAGACACACCGAAAAAAACAGATTTATTGAATCTCATGTATAGTTTGGACACAAAAGGGGTCACAGGCCCACTGTACTCCCTCTAAATCCGCCAGTAGTCCAGATAGGGCTTAAAGTTACATGAATAAGGACCTGCTCCAAACACTTTAACCTGGTCATCTGAAAAATATAGGTCAGATCCAACATCCGAAGCAAGTCTGCTAATGGCCATCCCTAGATGTATCATCTATGCAAGTTTGATCCGGGAAGGGGTTATAGTCCTGCTCCAAAAACTTTTACCGAGAAGCCGATGCAGACATCGACACCAACTCAAGGTTAAACATAAGCTCATTTTGACTTCGTCGTGGTGAGCTAAAAAACATTAGTTAATGAGAGGTTTAATGATATGCCACTAAAGGTGGGCCGCCCCTCCCTCCCAAATTTTGTGATGCGTGCCTGATAAATAATATATATAATTATACATACAAGGGCCAAAGCTGCTCCCAAGAGACCTCCCCCAATCTGAGCAATGAAAAAGCATACTGCAACAAGCACTGGTAGCGCACCATTCAAAGTCAGAGCGAATGTTATGACTGGGTTAAAATATCCGCCGCTACAAAACAGTCATCAGTTGTTGTTGTTTTTGTTTTTTTTATTTACTAAATGTGTACGTTAATAAACATTTGGGAAAAAAACATACTGAGTATGGAAATGCGAATTATGGGTGAAGTCAACAATAATGACCATCAGATTGATTTTTTGTGAAAATTTTCCACTACCCTTAATATGCCTCTAATTATGTTGATTGGTAATATATAATGTTTTGAACAACAGATAGTATCAAACTTTTATAAATTTGTTTTTCTTGTTTGAAGAGATCGATGAAGATTGTTGATAATTACAATAAAAACAGTTTCGATGCTATCCTGACAGAATAAATTTGAAAAAAATAAGACCGTAGAACACAAAATGTCATAAAGTGTTAGCAACATCAAGTGGTAACGAAATTATGCAATATTTGTAGCCCAATACTTCATTTTTGAAACATATGAAAGTTTTTAAACTTGGCTTTATGTCCTGAATTATTCCCTATTTATATCTTTCTTTTTTGTGTTTCATAAATAAATCTAAGTAAAGCTAATACCACATCTGAATTGTTAAAATTGAACAGGCAAAGGATTTAAATAATAAAACTGTCAATAAGCTATTCAAATAGAACATTATTAACGAAAGATTATTTCTCAACATAAATATGTCTTTTCATCATATAACTTAAGTCTATAAAAAATGCGTTGCTTTCCTGACCATGTAAATCTAGATCATCCTCAGCACATGCAAACTCTGTAATTGATAAATTTATTTGGTAAAATTTCTTAAAAATCAAAGAATCATAATAATATTATGTCATTTTATATATTGATAAATGAAAACCATTTTCTCATACTTTGGAGCAAAAAACTCTCTTATAACTTAAACATCTTTCAGATTTTTAAATTCCCCATACTTATTTTTTTTCTGTTCCACCCCTGACACGGTATAACGGTATAAAAGTCTTTATTTTAAACATAAACCGTTAATATTATTTATTTCACAGACCTAAAAAATATTGGTTTTTTAAATATCACAAAAAGTGTTGTACTTCTGATTTTTTTAGCCTTATTTTTTGTTATTTGAGATTTCAATTTGGCATGTACTACTAGTATTTAGACACAATCACTATCTAAAGACATATGCTGAGACATAGAAATTCATTACAATTGCCTGTATTTTTCGTGCGGGTGGTCATATTTTTTTTCAAATTTACCCATTTATCATTTTGCTATTATTTTCAATATAAATAATTTCGTTAGAGCGATATTTTTAAAAACATTTTTTCCGTCAAATAGTTACCTTGGAAAAACATTTCTGTCATAAATCAAAATATAAATTCATACCTGATATCACCGAATGCATAAATCAAGAATACATAACCAAATCCATACACTAGTGCCGAAAATAAATTGTCATTTAATGTAATGCTGCGATCATAAATTTCGCCGTGAAAAAGGTAGATAGGACCACAAGAACACAAGAGGAATACCAGAAATGCGGTCCCTAAAAACTCGGCTAATGTTGGACGAATAAATTTGTCTACCACTGAACCACCACACAGTGCACGAACAGATTCATTTCGACGTATCGTTTGAGCTTCGTCGGCCATCTTTTTTCACATTGCAAACTGCGCAGTAAACATGTAAGGTTGTAAAATTTAAAAAAGTCGTTCAAGTAAATCGATCAGGTTAGATTACATTTGTGTCATTTCTCAGGTATAAACATAAAAAACTCTATCCAATTCGGAAACCTTTCGAAAGAACATATTTTGAATGTTGGTATAGTAGAATAATACAAATCAATAATTTCTATATACATACATGTATGAAAATACACAATTTAAAACAGAACTCTACATCAGAGAAGATTCAATACATTTGTAAAAGTGTATTTTAAAGTTCAGGAAGCCAGTTTTAGAAAATAACAACTAACCCCAAAACCTTGTAGTTGATTGAAAGGTATTATCAATTGCCTATTTCCTCAATAAATTGCTTTTCTTTTGTTACTTATTGTTCATTTTCGTTTTTGTTTTTTTTTTCCTTTGTACATTTTTTAATTATTATTCTTTATTCTGTACATCTATTAACCTTGACCTTGATGTAGGGAGAGGGATAAAAAAAAGGTGAGTCTGCTCTCCAACCCAATTCACTTTTACATCTGTGAATAAAACATATTTGAAGTAAAAATATTACTAAATTTGAGTAGGGTTCTGTTAAAAATTTATTGCACTAAAATGGTTTTTCTTAATTCTTTTCAAAAAGATTAAAATCATTTTTTAATAAAGTAATTCACACAATCAAATTTTTATCTTAGTTGTAGGTTTTTCTGGTTTCTGATCTTACAGGATGGGTCTGCATGTCCAACGATATCAACGTCAACACTTTTTAGTTAAGCTAATAGCTGGTTATTAAGTTGTATCCCTACCTCAATGTAGTGGAGATCTTCTTGTTGAGCCAACAGAAAGCTTAACAACATCGATAGGAGCAACGCAGGGTATAATTTACTTACTCTTTATTACCTAAATATTACATTTTTAAAGTCAATTTAAAGTCGTCACATTCAATTCAAGGTGGAAGGGTAACGTTTAATAACTGCCACTCTAAGTAAAAAAGAAAAAAAAATCTCTTAGGTTCAGATTCTAAAAACGTTTATTGCCATTGTATTTATATGCATATATTTATGATAAAGCCAAATAAAAATCATCTTTAATTCGAGCTACAGATTTGAAACTTTCGCAAAATCACATCAACGTTTGATATGTAAGAACTAACACACAAATTGTTTCTACCTTTACTATATTATCACTACAACGTTGATATTTATTTAAGGTAATATTGCTATACATGTAACATAATTACGTCGGGTGAACCATTTTCAACGTTTCTGTATGAGTTGTATTTCAGTTGGGTCATGTAACTTCTATATTTGAGTTTTTAAGGTCTTTAAGGTCTTTAAGCATATAAAATGAATGCTAAAAATATATAGCTAGCCAAGGTTGCATTCTATTTAGACATAAAAAGGTAACTATGAATTAGATGTGTGTTGTAGGGTGATAGTGAACAATTTAGTTCTCATATTCCTTTGTTTAGGCTCGATAACGACAAGAATAAATAGCAAAAAATCTCAATCTTGAAAATCTGGAAACAATATCAATGTTTTGATGCATTTCTGTTCCTGGTTTCAAACTTTGGAAATGAACAAGGGCACTGCAAGGCGCAAATAAAAAAGTGCAATATTCGAGATCGATCCAAGTTCAAACTAGGTCATTTCCTTTTTGCACAAAAGACGCCCTAAGCTTCTATTTTTTGTTTTAGAAAGAGCCTTACTGCTTAAAAGAGACGAGTACACTTTTGAATTTGTAATTGGTTGTGGAATTACTAAAAGGGGCATAAAATGATCAAGTGTCCTAGATCAAAAGACTGCAGTTGAATGAATAAAGGTTAAATAAGTTTGATGCAGAAAACTATTTTGTTAGATGTTTAATTTGAATTTAAATGTATTGATAAGACCTTGCAAACGCTTAAATGGCCATGAATATTATTTAGAGAGATGTTCAAATAAAATAAAGCTTAAATGTGAGCAAGCAAATTCAAAGAATCGTGGTCCCCCACTTTCGTTGTCTTAGTGGGTGAGATGTCATACTTGTGTAAAATTGTTTCAAATAAAAACGCCCTATAATTTCATTATGTCATTCAAATGTATAATCACTAAAATTATTTTTTTGAAAAGTAGGTCAAACATGAAGCTCAGGGCCAAGGGGTCAAACCATAACATGCTCGGAAACATCTTTTACAGTTATGTGAAAAATGAAAGCTTTTACATATGTCCGTATATTGCAAAGATTATATATTTTTTTTCAAAAGTAGGTCAAAATCCAAAATGAAGGTCAGAATCGTGACAATGTTCACGCCAAGTATATGAATGTCCTCTCATTAACTGTTTATAAGACATGAAGTTAAAGTTTACTAAATTTTGCAAAAATTGAATCAAATCGAAAGGTCAAGAGGTCAAATATGTTGGTACCAAATGAAATATATCAAATATTATGGCTAAGATTAATACTTTGCCGACAAACAGACAAACATATAGACGGATGGACAGAACAAAAACTTTATATATATGCATAAATCCATACATGTAATGATATGTTTTTTTTTGACTTTATTAAATAACGGCTGATCCTTTGAAATTTGACGTCATTGTTTGGGAATGTTATTGCTGGGAGTTTAGTGTCATTGTATTATTGTTTTACAAACAGCGTGACAGTTTGCTAGATGGGGCGTGCTAAAATTTTACTCAGTGATTGGATGCTTTATTTCAATGGAATCAATACTAATTTGCATATGAAACTTAGAATACAACAATATCCTGAGAATAGTGGCCAATCACATTGAATGCTTGTTCACCAGTGCGGCATTTGTACTCACTAGCAACACGTGGTCAGTCAAAGCCCGTTCTCTGTCCTCAAAAAAGCATGTATTATATTTGTGATGATTTGACCGGATGGTTTTATATACGTACAAGAAAATTCAAAGAATAGAATTAGTAAGGCTACTCTGCTGCTGCTGTACTATGCACCTATCAATATCATCAATGTAGGTTGTAAAACTTGCTTTGTCCGTCCACGTGTAACTGTTGTTTACTGCATGCTAGTAAACATGTGATTGAATACGATTGGTCAGTATTGTCAGTGGTATTGTTGGGTTCTATGTTTCATATGCAAAGTATTTTTGATTCCATTGAAATAAAACATCCAATCGATGAGTAAAATGATTATCAGCATACAAAAGTTTAGCACGCCCTACAAAGCAAACTGCCACGCTGTTTGTAAAACAATAATACATGTTGTATGGGAATGTTATTGCTGGGAGTTGAGTGTCCCTCATTGTATGGGAATGTTATTGCTGGGAGTTGAGTGTCCCTCATTGTATGGGAATGTTATTGCTGGGAGTTGAGTGTCCCTCATTGTATGGGAATGTTATTGCTGGGAGTTGAGTGTCATTGTATTGGAATGTTATTGCTGGGAGTTAAGTGTCCCTCGGAATTTGTAAACGTCATATAATCTGGTGTCCTTCTCTTTGCAAACAAAAATCTAAAATGAAAAAGTTACATATTATTTGGATTTTTTAAAATCATTTTTATACTCATTAATATTCAATCAGTTTTCTAAAATCATTGTTGAGTTTGTAAAGGTTCACTTAAATGTAAAATGAAGAACTAATTAGAAATGTGTCAATTTTTCTCATCTTTAATAATATCCTGAATAATATTAGTTGATTTTGATTTTTAAAAATTAATACTCAAAATTAAGTTATATTTCATAGACTTGAATTACACTGTTTGTCTTAACTTCAATGTCCAATATACCTTATGTGAATATTTTTTGAAATATATTACATGTACATTTATTTGCAATGCGAATAATCTCAAACCTGTAAATAATAGCTGCTACCACTGCCCCCGCGGTGGGCCCCACCCAGTAGACATAGTGATGTTCCCACACATTAAATTCCAGGTATTTGGAGTAGGCTGCAGCCGGTCCTAAACTTCTTGCCGGATTCATAGATCCACCAGTATATCGCGCCCTGTTGTGAATTTATAAATTAACTTTCAAAGCACGCCATTTTGAGTTCAATTTGATCTCCTTGCATTTATTTTAGGAAAACTTCTGCTCTTAAAGCTCTAAACTATTTTCCATATATTAATGAAATACTGCTCCTTTCAATTTTTTTTCTAAATGTCATCAAGTTATCACTATCTATGTCTTTCATTGAGCGTTTTCAGGACTAGACCAGGCCAGGAAAGTCACGTAATGTTAATCATCGTAAAATGGTTAAATGTTAGAGGGCATTTGTTTAAGTCTCATAATAATGATAATAATATTTTTTTTAGGTATATTCGATGGGCTTTAGCATGAAAAAAGCCCCTCCATAAGTGCTGAGCTGGTACAAAGTCACGTGTTTCGATTTCATAATTTCCCTCCAACATTTAAAAAATATGTGTAAAACGGTAGGCAAATATAACGTGCAGAATGCCTATATATCTGGATATAATATATTATTTGTTAAATGTTTGCCCAATTTATAGTCAAAATATCTGAGTTTTCCAGGCTTTTTGCGATTTGTGATATACAAGGAAAACGTCAGGAACCGGCACAATTACGAAGATTGGAAATCGGCCTTCTCCAACTGGAGTGTATTTTTGACACTTCCGAACTGACTTAAATGATGAACTTACAATTTATAATAAGCCGAATGCTTCTAGTGGAGTTTTATGAAGAGACTTACTTTTACATTTGAAATCTGACTTTTACATTTTAATGATTGGAGTTTGTCGGCGTTTAAACTGTAAAAGTCAGTCGTCAATTGTAAAAGTAAGCCTCTTCATAAAACTCCAATACTCATCAAAACAATGAAAAGAAAACACCAAACCACATTTCGTTACAGGACTTGCAAGATTTTAAAATGCATAAAATGAAATCTCGACAATCTGATATAATTTTCATTGGATTGTGTATTTTATAAACGAACCATAGGGCGATGTCGGTGAGTATTTTACTATTGAGTTGTACGTTTATAATTCAATTCGGTGCGCAAGTATAGAAAATAAATCAAAGAATTTAGCCTGCGGTTAGAGGCGACGAATTCCCATTTTTAGTAATGGTGGTAGTTCTAAAGTATCAAAATCGTAAAAAAATATGGAAAACGACAATAATTTCGGACTACTCATTAAGTGTTTGTATGCTTTTACATAGAATCGAAAAAATTCTCTTGACAAGATTTTTGCTAATGGTAGAAATTTTACACAACGTATACTTTAATGTTAGATGAAATATCAAAGAAAAATTTCATATAATTAAGATTTAATTTTTCACCTTTGTGTTTATTTGTTGCACTATGCGCAGAAGGCCCGCCTTCTTCGCTTATCTTCTTTATCAATATGTATACCTGTTATATTAATCATTTATTACCAACATACCATTGGTCTTTATAGCTTACCCAGACATAGCACAAGCAATGACCGAGAATCCAATAGCAAGAGGTGACATTTTTTTCTTCTTTTTATCTAGCGATGTGAGTAAAACAGTGAAAGTCAATATGAACGTAAGGATGCCCTCTATCAGAACTGCCCAGCCAGGTTCTGTCTCATTTATAAGCATTGTTGCTCCACCGATGAATTCTTTGTATTTATTCGTCGGAATAGCAGCCTTACGCAAAAATAAAGTAAAAATGTTAAAAATTTTGGAGTAATTTGACGTTGCTTTTAACTCATAATCAAAATGTCAACAAGTACAGGCACGCATCATCGTAAGTCCGAGGGTGAGAGAAAGGGGTAACAAATAAAAAAAACGGTAATCATAAATTTTGTAGCTCACCTCGACGAATGTTGTCTATAAGTAAGGTAAATATTTCAATTTTTTTTCCTAGTAAGTGAGCACATGAGTACATCTCCATCAATAGATGTAACATCCAAACTGATTTGGTTAAAGTAGGACTCAGATCAACTCTTAAACTGGAAACCTGAAAATTATAGGCCAGTTCCAGTATCCGAAGCAAGCCTGTAAGTGTCCGTCCCTAGATGCATCATCCATGCAAGTTTGGCTCAGGTAGGGCTTATAGTTTATAGTAATGGAACTGTTCCTAAAACTTTAACCTGGCCAGTCATTTGAATTTTTTTTTCAGATCAAACACCCAAAGCAAGACTTGAAGTGTCCATTCTAAGATGCATGCAAGTTTGGTCCGTGTAGGCCATATAGTTACTTAGGAATGAACTGCTTCTAAACCTTTAACCCGGTCACTCATTTGGAAAAGTTTTTCAGATCAAGCATCCAAAGTAAGCCTTAAGTTTTCATCCCTAGCTAGATATATCATCCATGCTAGTTTTTTCCATGTTTGGTTTATAGTTACTTAGGAATTGACCTGCTCCAAAAACTTTAAACTGGTCACTCATCTGAAAAACATGGGTCAGATCCAGCATTCGAAGAACGTCTCCATCTTTAGATGCATCTTCAATGAAAGTTTTGTCCACAGTAGCGGATCAAGTAAACATTTACCTGGTCACCCTTCTGGAAAATATGTCAGATCCAATATCCGAAGCAAGTTTGGTAACGTCCATCCCTAGATGCATTATCCGTGCAAGTTTGGTCCAGGTAGGGCTTATAGTTACTTGGTAATGGAACTGCTCATAAAACGTTATTCGGGACTATGACAACGACATCGACACCAACTCTAGGTAAATTTTAAGCTCATTTCGACAACTTCGTGGTGAGCTAAAAAACATAAGTAAATGAAAAGGTTTAATGATATGCCACTAAAGGTGGGCCGCCTTTCCCTCTCCCATTTTGTGATACATGCCTGTGCGAACAGTCTAAGAAATGTACAAATATTTCCCTAGAACAAGACTTTTTTCATTATGTTAAAAATAAATAATACATAATTATGTTAAAAAATTATAATAATATTATATCATTATACATACAAGGGCCAATGCCGCTCCCAAGAAACTTCCCCCTATCTGAGCAATGAAAAAGCATATTGCAACAAGCACTGGTAGCGCACCATTCAAAGTCAGAGCGAATGTTATGACTGGGTTAAAATACCCGCCGCTACAAAAGAATCGTCAGTTGTTTTGAAATTTAATAAATGTGTACGTTAATAAACATTCGAAAAAAAAGCATACTGAATATGAAAATGCGAATTATGAGTGAAGTCAACAATAATGACTACCAAATTGATTCATTTTGATTTTTTTTCACTTAATTACATGTATATAATGCATCTCCATATATAACATGCATTCTAGTTAAACTTCCCTTAAGTCCAATAGAATAAACAATTTTATAAAAGAGTTAAAGATTTATTAGTGGTAGAACTTTTTTTCTGAAAAAAAGAAGAAAATAACACTACATCCAAAAAGACTTCTAAAATACGTAATAAAAAGAACTTTATTTTCTGTGCTTCAAAATGGTAACAGGGATATGTGTAACAATCACTAGTTTAACCTTTAAGGTACCCATTTGTTTTGTTTCAAGTATTGCCCTTCGGGCACCTCTTTAGTAAAGCACCCAGAATTCCTTGCAGAATTTTGGCCGACAGGACAAGTAACTAGCATTTCGACTGACCGCTACGGGGAGGAAACGTTCGACAACTCAATCATCAGCGGTAGTGGTCTTTTACTGTGTTAGAGTGTGTCCGTGCATTTGCAGATACGCACCACTTCGTGTTTCGCATGACAGACCTTTATCTGATATGTGACATTGCCTTTATCAGTAAAAATAAATTTTCTATAGGTATTTGGTGAAATTATTCTATAATATATATATTTGTTCGCTGTATTACTTTTTAATTTAAATGTCTGAGCGGAAGTAAGTGACCGGAAGTATTGTCAACCATTTTGTATCTATGTCAACTGTAAACAAACTGAAGATATTGAAAGTATCTTAGTGTTTATGTTATATTGAACTCAAACATAACTACAGTACCGAACAGACCCGACCTGACACCAAAGCAATCCCTGAAAGCAGTCCCCGGGACTGCTTTAGGACCGCTCTGGGACTGCTGTGGGACTACTCAGGGACCGCTATGAGACTGCTCTATAAAGCAGACCCAGCAGTCCCAGCTGTCCCTGGGACTGCTTTCTTGGACTGCTTTGTTCATTCATGTGTGAAAAGGGTTCTGAGTGACATGATAGCTCCGCCTCCTTGTGTATTCTGAATTTGCAGACTCCCAGTTGTTTTGTTTACTAGCAGCAGAGAGGAGTTTAAACTATTAAAAAAAGCAATGAATTCTAACAATCTTTTGATATTAAGAAGAGATTATCATAATTAATGTTTTCAGAGACGGTATATTTACACAAATGTAGTTTAGAAAAAAAAATTAAATAAAGTTGTACAATATGGAAGCCAGGAGAAGATTTTTTTCCCTAAAAATAAACTACAAGTTTATGAAAAAAATATCTACTTGTAGGCCTATTTTATTATTCAATGTAAAATTATGTGCACTCAAAAGTTGCATTGGCACTATTTAAAAATAATCATTACAGTTTAGACATAAGATTTTTTAATTTAAAAGCTACATGTTTTACGAGTACCACGCTAAAAAAAGTATTCCATGCAACCTCCAAATAAAGTCTAACATTTTATAAAATGACCATGAAATAAAATTTTGCTACCATTCTTCCGTAACTTTAACAATGTGAAACAATGTGAATAATCATTGTGGAATTTATTAATGAATTACCGGTAGTTTTTAGTTAATAAACAAATTATCAAAAGAGTAGATTTATTTTATAAATAAACAATTGAAAATGTCGGGAATTGTGATTTATTTCTTTTTTGTTTTGCTTGTGCCTTAGGACAGAAAATCAGTGCGTGTTATTTGGGTATAAGTATCAGCGTTTCACATCATTGATCATGCCTGGTCAACAATGACCCTTATTTCAATCTACCAGTATGTAATGCACAAATAAAATTGATAAATGAAATGTGTATGATTTCTTTTAGGATTAATTAATTTTGAATAAAATCTGATGGTTCCATTCTGGTGATTTATAGATGTACATTCTAACATTTCCAACATTTACAAATAAAACACTTAAAACTGAGTATTTTAAAGATAGAGAAATTAACAATAATTAAATTGACATCTCAGTAAAAATACTGAAAAATACCGGTATAACTTAGCAAAATTTAACAAAGAATTTTGTAAAGGCCCAATTTCTTAAGAAAATTCGTTTTGAGTATCCCGATAGTATAAAAATTGGCCATATAAGATCTATTTAAAACTAATTCTTACTGGTGGAAAATAATTAATTCACGTTAAATATATAAAAATATGGGAAACAGTATCAATCGCAGAAAATTAAGAAATTGAATTATTAATATACCCGATAATTAAATATTCATTTTCATGAAAGTGTGAAAGCCTTCTTCCTTCAATAAATATTATTTCAATTTGTTTCTATGCGCGTACTGTTCATAAATGACCTTCGCTTACATGTAAGAATTCCTGGCATACTACCAAGAGTCATTTTCTACTGCCTTATATAGTTCCATTGTTTATTGCAAATCTCATTTAACATTAAATTAATAAACCTCGCCCACTGGGACTGCTTGGGCTGCTCTGAGACAGCTATGGGACTGCTCTGGGACCTCTGTGGGACTTCCCCGGGACTGCTTAGTGTAAGGTTGGGTCTGATCGGTACTGTACATGGTTATTAATTAAAGCCAGTATAATTGTATTATAGTATTGCCATATGTAGAGTACATAATTATTTACTGATAAAGGAAAGTTAATGTTTTAGCACCATGCTGAGGTGTTATTGGTACTCTGATGTCGATGATGTGTTGATGACGAGGATGATGTCAATGTGAATTCGATGATGTGATGATGACTACGATGATATCGATGACGATGTCGGTGACGATGATGTCAATGATGATGATAATGTTGTTGATGAAGACGAAGTCGATGAAGATGTTTAAGCACGGGAATCACTAACAGTCGTGAATCAATACTACTGATCCTCAAACAACAGTCTAGGACTAAAGCCCCGGAAGTTTGGAGGACAGTGTTGATCCGAATAGTGTGGACTTTCGTATTGATGTGGACAATACTGGCAATGTTTATAGGCTTGAGTTATTGAGAACACGTGTTGAAAACCGTTGATTAAAAATCTGTTGATTATTTTTTTTCTCATTGTAAATAACATTTTTTTTGATCGATCATTTGAGTGAGTGTGCATGTGTGTGATTGTGTGATATATTAGTTGATTTTCTTTTCTTTATTATTTTTTTTGTAAATAAACTCTTGTTTTCTTTGAAGAAATTCTTGTTTTGATTTGAAAAGAAAAGCCTGGCTTATTCCACGATACAATATGAATGATTAGATTTAAAAAAATAAGTGTTTGAGATTCTTCTCTTTTTTATGTGAAAAAGAGGTTTTTGGTTGTAATTTTACATTATTTTTTTTTAAATTCTGGTTTGAACAGTTTTAAAATAAAAAAAAATTGAAACAATAAAGTCCCTTAATATAATTTTTTGTCAATTTAAGTCAATAATTAAACGCCCCGCTTGAAAAGTGGGAAGGCATATAGTGATCGGGATATCCGTCCGCCTGGAAGTCCGTCCGTTCGTCAATTACGCTTTGGGGGTACCCATCTCTTATCCGCAACTCCTCTTATACAACTAAATGAAAATGAGACTTTCAAAGAATCTTATGAAAAATCGCTATTGTGCACCTCTTATTCTTTTATCATCAACCCCCCCTATAACACTGAATAAAATTTTATGATACTTTCACAGAATCTTTAATACATACTGTTGTGCATCTTCTATTTTACTTTTTGTTCTGACACTTACTTCGGGTTTTCCCCAGAGCAAAACATGGATTTTAAACTGTTATTAAGGGGCAATATCCCTCTGCTCTTAATTTCACGACTTTTTCTTTAAAATTCCAAACATTGATTTTCAGCAACAACCATATACATGTATAGCATTAAATTCAAATGGAAAATAGGTTGAAGCATGAAGCGTTGCTTAATTTTTCAGAAATGAATAATATGTCATATCACGATGTGAAGAAAATGTGATATGGTAAATAGAAAGATATATTATTTTTAATCTCACAATTAAATTAGAAATATGATGTATGTATCGATATAATATTTACTCTCATACTTATCTAATTACCATTAGAAAACATACCGAAGCGTTGCTTTTTAAATTACAATATCAAATTGTTTTCTGTGTATGTAAAATAATACGCATCCATAAACAGGAGTCATCGTTCCATTATTGCCCTTGAAAATATATTTTAATGAAACTAAATATTAATTAAATGTTTATAAACAATTCTGCATCTGATATTCCTGTACAATTAAAAGACTTTTACGTTAAGAGATAGAAAATTTTCAATTTACACTGTTTAAAGGACCTGAGTATAAATGTTTTAGGTAAACCATTATGAATAATTAATAAATATACTACCAAAAGAAACTAGAAGTCAACATCTGTACGATAAATCAGGTTTGATTATGTTGACAACAAAATGGTTCATGTGAATGAAATTTGTAAACTCTGCAGAAATTTCACTGAATTTCATGACAAAATGTCTGAAGAAAGTTATCTCTCTTATCAGAAAAGTTATTTCTCTTATCAGAGGGATATTCCACCTTAAAATCATATGGGAGGCGGGGTATCAGTTAATATGCTTAGTGTTCATAGTACCTCTAGTTTTATTTAACCTACTTTTTTGATTAATAACACACAATTACCCATTCTTAGTTTGTAAATCAGTTCGTCGTTTTGATATTTATTATAATAAACGGTAAGTTTTTCAAAATTTCAAGAATTTAAAAAATATTTATTTGCAATGTGTTACATACCAGTATATATTTATATTGTATTTAAAAAATATTAAGGTGATAATAACTATTCTATGAATTGACTGGAATATGCCTCTAATTTGTTGATAGACATAAATTTTTGAATAACAGATAGTATCAAACCTGTTTTCAATAATATTTTTTAGAAAAGATAGATGAAGATTATTGATAATTATAAAACAGTTTTGTTGCAATCCCTACAGCAGTAAAATTAAAAAAAAGACCATAGAACACAACATGTCATAAACTGTTTTAAGTGTTTCATAATTTTAAGACTTTAAAAAAAGGTTTATATGCAATTGTGTAATATATCAATATACATGTATTTAAGGTGATGAAAACTATTTTTTGCACTAACTGCAATATACCTCTAATTTATTCAAAGACAAAATGTTTTATGTAGTATCAAACTTTTCAATTTATTTTTAGATAAGAAAGATGAAGATTTTTGATAATTGTTGAAGAGTTTTGTTGAATTCCAAACATCAGTAAAATTGAAAAACAAGGCCATGGAACACAAAATGTAATAAAGTGTTGACAACATCTAGTTGTAACAAAATTATGCAATATGCACCAGTAATGTCTGATGTCTAATGTTGAAAAATAATTATACCATGTCAGGAATGGAAAAGAAAAAAAATTGTATGGCAAAAAAAAATTATTTGTTAAATATTTTTTTGTGTCATTACTTTCCATAATACAAATCAGGGAATCATAATATGTCATTTTATATATTGATAATTTAAAAAAAAAAACTGTCATGCTCTGAAGCAAAACCTCAAATGTTGAAATCCTGACATTTTTGTTTATATACAGATACTCAACTCTCATTCATGCATTATTGTCATCTGTTTAGTATTTTTAATTATTAAAATGTGCATCGATTATTGTTTTACACTTTGAAAAAAAATTGACTTGAATGTCTTTCAGATTTTTCAAATTAATATTTTTTTTACCATACTAATTTTTTTTCTTTTCCATTCCTGACATGGTATAATTCTTTTTTCAACGATAGTCATCAGTCATTACTGGTACATATTGCATAATTTTTTACCACTGAATGTTGTCAACACTTTGTCAGTTTGTGACATTTTGTGCTCTGTGGCCTGATAAGACTTTCACAGAATCTTTATTACACACTGCCATTGTGCATCTCCTATTTACTTTTTGTTTCGATACATTTTGGTTTCCCATAGCAAAACATGGACACTGCCATTATATTCATATGGGAGGCGCAGGTATCATTTAGTGAGCTCATTACTCACAGTAGTTTTGCGTAAGAGCGATATTTTTAAAAATATTTTTTCTGTCAAAATTCCCTTGGAAAAACAATATCCGCCATTAGTTAAAATATAAATTCATACCTGATATCACCGAATGCATAAATCAAGAATGCATAACCAAATCCATACACTAGTGCCGAAAATACATTGCCCTCAATAATATGCATAAATGTATTAAGGCGGATTGGAGCACAAGAACACAAGAGAAACACCAGAAATGCGGTCCCTAAAAACTCCGCTAATGTTGGACGAACAAATTTGTCTACCACAGAACCACCACACAGCACACAAACAGATTCGTGTCGAGGTATCGTTTGAGCTTCGTCGGCCATCTTTGTCATTGCAAAGTGTGAAGTAAACTTGTAAGCTTTTAACATTTATGAAAGTCATTCAAGTAAATCTATATCCGGTTAGATCTACAATTGTGCATTATTTTCTCTGGCATAAACATAAAAATGCATGAAACATATAAAAATAAACAACTTTAAGCACAACATTACATTAGAGAAGATTGAATACATCTGTAAAATGCTTACGTATGCTCTTTAAAGCTCGGGGGAACAGTTTTGAAAAAGAAATTACAACTTACCCCAAAACACTTTAGTTGAGTGAAAGATATTACTAATGGAGTTTTATGAAGAGACTTACTTTTACATTCGACAGCTGACTTTTACATTTTAAGTAATGGGAGTTGGTTACAGTTTAAATTGTAAAAGTCAGTCGTCAGTTGTAAAAGTAAGTCTCTTCATAAAACTCCAATTGCCTATTTCTTCTGTAAATTGCTGCTTTTTTGTTACTTTTCGTTCATTTTCGTTTTTTTCTTTTATTATTACCGGTATTATATACTCAGAGACTTTAAAAACGCCTACTAAAACAGGTAACATCTTGGAATTCCAAGCTCGGTCTTCCGACCTTAATCCCATCGAATACGTATTGGACGAGCTTGGAAGATGGTTAAAAAGACGTCAATGCCAACCCACAAGCGTGCCAGATTTAGCAAAGGCTTTACTGTAAGAGTGGAATAACATTCCTATGAGACAAATTCGAGCTGTATACCAATCCTGAGTCTCCGCTTGAGAGCATGTGAAGTTGCAAATGGTGGTCATACACGTTAATAATCAAAACGACAAAAACTGTTGACAGTGCAGGGTTCTCAATCAATTCAAGCTCTTATATTCGCGGTCATTTCGCGACCAATTTGCGAAGGAATCCCGAAATAAATTGAAAAATACACATCACATAATATGAATCAATATTCAAATACAAATAGCATTAACAAGTAGAGCTTTTTAAAAAAGCTTACCGTCTTTAGCAACAACTATAAACTGATCTACACTTGTCAGGCCGTATTATTATTTTGAATTTCAAGATTTTGTATTTCTACATTATTAAATTTTTAATTTTTAACTGTGGCGCTAAGGAATTTGACTGTGGCGGGGCCACCACGTTAAATGGCCTGTGGAGAACCCTGCAGTGTGATTTTAACTGTTTGCCTTGAAAAAACTCGGTTAACAAATTCGTTGATTGTATTGGAAATGAAGACATTCCATGGAAAAGTTATGATTTTTAATTAATTTCCTACAACATGTAATATAATGTACCAATGACACTAAAAGCAATCTCAATATGCGTTTTTGAAGTCCCTGAGTATAATTTATTCTGTACATGTATTCACTTTGATGAAGGGAGATATAATAATCTGAGTCGTTTAATGTTTAGTAAAAAAAAAAAAAAAAATTTTTTTAACTTTACTGTGGTATCATTTCAACGTTGATATTTATTTCAGGTTAATATTGCTATGCATGTAACATACCGGTAATTACGTCGGGTGAACCATTTTCATTGTTTCTATATGAGTTGTATTTCAATTTGGTCATATAACTTCTTTATTTGAGTGTTTAAGGTCTTTAAGCATATAAAATGAATGCTAAATATATATTGCTAGCAGTGGTTTCGTTGAGACATAAAAACTTTCCACAAGGTACTATCAATTAGATGTGTGTGTTAGGGTGATAGTGGACAATGTAGCTTTCATATTCCTTTGTTAAGGCTCGATAACGACTAAAATAAACATAAAAAAAATCTCAATCTTTGAATATTTTCCGTCAGTTACCATGAAAACCTGGAAACAACATCAATGTTTTGATGCATTTCTATTCCTGGTTTCAAACTTTGGAAATGAACAAAGGCACTGCAAAGTGGATTGTTGTATAGAATAAGACATCATTCGACATCGATCTCAGTTCAAACTACGTCATTTCCTTTTTGCACAAAAGACACCCTAATCTTCTATTTTTTGTTTAGAAAGAGCTTTACTGCTTAGAATATCCGAGTACACCTTTGAATTTGTAATTGGTTGTGGAATTACTGAAAGGGGCATAATATGATTAAGTGTCTTAGATCAAACGAATGCAAATTGAATAATAAAAATTAAAATAAAATTTGTTGCAAAACACTATTTTGTTAGATGTTAAATTTGTATTTAAATATATTGATAGAACTTTGCAAGTGCTTAAATGTCCATTTATATTATTTAGAGAGGTGTTAAAATAAAATAAAGCTTTAATGTGAGCAAGCGAACTCAAAGAATCTTGGTCCCTCAATTTTGTTGTCTTTGTGGATGAGATGTCAAACTTCTGTAAAATTGTTTCAAATAAAATATGAACGCCTTATAAATTCATTATGTTTTTCAAATGTAATCACCAAAATTATTTTTTAAAGGATCACTTCATTATAAAAAGGGATCTGACCAATAGGACCGGGCTTGGTTTTATTCTCTACAGAAATCTTGTCGATTTCCGTTCTGAATAATGAGATTAGGCTGAATACATATAACAATTTGTTTTTCCTAAATCTTTATTTCAGTGAGTAGAGATTGGAGTAACCCATTTATTGATTTTTCTGAGTTTGTTATCTCCAAATGTAATACTGATATTTCTTTACTTCTCATTGTGCATAAAGGTAATGCCTACTGTCTCAGAAATTCTATTCTTTATGTAAAGGTTCTTTATCCGTGGATATAATAAAACATACCATTAATGTGTGCAAAATATATTGGCCTAAATGAAATCCATGGAAAACAGTTACTGATATCTGTAGCCAAACCAATGTGATTAAATTCTATACAAGGGATATATACAAATGAAATTCATCGCAGCTCAATGCTGCCAAGAATACCTGTATCGAGTAACACAAAGTGAGCTATTCTTGTCCTCGGAGAAAGTGTGCTTATATTGTTGAGCCTGACTGGCATCTGCACATTGGATTGTTACGATCTGATCTTTCTTTAGTGTTTCTTATATCAAGAATGGGCATGCATAAAGGATATATAATTGAAAGAAAATGCACAAGTTTATAAAAAAAATTAAATAATCTTTGAAAAGGCGAAAAATTAAAACTTTAAAAGTGGGGTGCCAGGTTGATTCGAACCCCCGACTTTAAAAGAAAGTATCGTTAGTGTAAAAATCGGCACATAATCAAATGAGCTAGTCTGACTATTAAAGTTGTTTGGTATTAATTTTAAGCAGATTATCAAAATCAGGTTTCCTTATTTTTTGTAGGTTTTTTTTTGTGAATTTCAACCCTAGGGCAGGGGTGCCCCTAAAAAACCATCTTAAATTATTCTTTACATCTAACCTATAAAAATATCACAGTTTTATATAGGGGCAGGCCTGCCCTGAAGGACTTCTAGGCCAAAATACATACGCTTTGATATACAAAATAGTGTTTTGGCCAACTTCGGAGGTTTATTGTAAAGTTGTAAATAATAAATATTAGGTATAAAATACAAATTTGAAAAATTTAGACAAATATACGACAGAAAACAACAAATAAAGATTAATTTTAAATGTCACTTTTTCCGGGAAATTGTTCTCTCCTGTATGTCAATTCTTTTGTCATAGTGAATACATGTTGAGGTCAAACATTAAGATCAGGACCAAGGGACCAAAAGCATAACATAGTCGGAAATATCTTATTACAGTTATGTGAAAAATGAAACCTTTTACATAGGCACATATATTGCAAAGGTCTTTTTTTCAAAAGTAGGTCAAAATCCAAGATGAAGGTCAAAATTATGAAATCCAAGGGAAATCATGTTACAGACATTGCTCATGTCAAGTATATGCATATCCTCTCATTAACTGTTTATAAGACATGAAGTTAAAGTTTTTAAAATCTTGCAAAAAATTTAATCAAATCAAAAGGTCAAGAGGTCAAATATGTTGATACCCCAAAACATTTTCTTCTAACGAAAAAATGAAATATATCAAACGTTATGGGTAAAATTAAAATAAATTTTGCCGACAAACAGACATACATATAGACGATTGGACAGGGCAAAAATTTTATGTCTCTGAATCTTGGAATCCGGAGTTGAAATATATAAATGTAAACAGAAATCCATGCACGTAAGGATAAGTTTTTATTTGACTTTATTAAATCACGACTGATCCTTTGAATTTGATGTCATTGTATGGGAATGTTATTGCTGGGTGTTGAGTGTCCCTCAGAATGTGTAAAGTTCATAAAATCTGGTGTCCTTCTCTTTGAAAACAAAACACTGAAATGAAAGAATGATTTATTATTTTCATACTTATAAAGTATCCCATTAATTTTCTTCAATCCTTGTAAAGTTTGTAAAGATTCAATTAAATGTAAAATTTATACCTACATAAAATAGAAATTTATCAATTTGTCATACCTTAAATAATCCTGATTAATATTAAAAAGGCTTATAATTTTTTTAATAAAAAATAGATTCTTTCAATTACCTTATATTTTGTCGACTCAAATTACACTGCCAAACTTAAGTAAACAATGAAACTTCATTACTTGCGATGACCTTTTCAGCAAATCGATTTATCATTGAGTCAAAATCTGACCGACCTTTTTCATACTAATTGTTAGTCCAATATTTACACCCTGAATTGACGACGAATTCTTCCGTTATTTCCCCATCATGACAAGGAGCACACCGCGGGTATGACCTGTCGGCGGGTAATGCTCACTCCTCCATGGCATCTGATTCCACTTCTGATGTTTTGGAGGACCGTGTTTGCTCTGCTCCTACTTTGTTTTGCTTTATGGACTTCTACGCTTAAATACTGCTCTTTATCTCTATATTTTTCATTACAAAGTGTATAACTAACAACGTTTAATAAACCATATGTGTACAGTACATATGTTTTATTTTATCGGCAATGCAAATAATCTCCAACCTGTATATTATAGCTGCGGCCAATGCCCCTGCTTTGGGTCCCACCCAATAGACATAATGATGCTCCAAAACATCGATATCTATGTACATGTATCTTGAGTAGGATGCAGCCGGTCCTAAACTTACAGCCGGATTCATATATCCACCAGTATATGGTGTCCTGTTGTAAATTTGTAAATTATATTTCAAAGCATGTCATCTTAAGTTCAGTTTGATTTAATGCATTTCTTTAAATATCTGAGCATTGACGAAGTACGCAATCCTGAAAAAACCTTATAACTTGATGTCATTAACAAACACTTTTGACTTTCATAAAGCGATTTAAAGGATTAGATAAAACCTGATAAGATCGTGCAATAGTGAACATGTAAATAGTAGACAAAAAATGTTCTAGTCTTATTAACTTATCTTGTCATTTGTCATTTGCAAAATTACTTTGTTAAAAGCATTCTGATTGTACACACAAGTACTCTTATACTTGTCGATATTAAAAAAAATGTTTGAGTTTTTGATGACAATGTCTATTTGGTTTTGGAGACTAGGTTTTTGTATCGAACAATCATTTGGAATTTCCATAGGTACCAATTGCACCTGTTATTTGCAGACTTTTTTGTATTCATATGTGGCAGAGTGAAATTTGTAGATATTTTTATCAAGTTATTAGGATTATTTAATTTATTATTTTCATTATTTAGAAAAATTATTTGAATCATGAATTTGTTGAATATTAATATATTTCAGCTACTGTAAGTTATTTTCTGAGATAAGCATATCACTCGTGTGAATATTTTTAACTTTTGCACACTGTATCTATATTTAGAGGTTATCTATCTTACAACGTTGTTTATAAAGCTTTTATTATGTTACAGGGTCATCATATGTCATTTCATCTCTATATCCAAATAAATGGTGTAAACTTTATCCGGAGTCGTTCTTTCCACCCATACTAAATTCGAACCGCCCTAAGACCCCGGGTTACACATATTAAGCAGAATTCATTTAAAATTTTAAACACGGGGAAAAGAAAACAATGGTTTTGGCTTTCAACTCGACAATTAGATATATCGAAGACATAATATCAATCAACAATAATTACTTCCATTCATATGTCGACACAATATTTCCCAGTGAGCTATATCAAAGATACCACAGAGTCTGATACATATGTTTCACACTTTTATATCTAACAAGAAAAAGACGTGAACGAATCTATAAGTTACAACAGGTTACAAACTTCATAATCAATGTAATCACTTTTATTTTTCAATCGTCAACCTCCCTTACTTATGCAGCAATATATGAAAGTTATTTATTTCCAGTAAATAATTTGTCTTGAAATCTTACCCTGACATTGCACATGCGACGACCGAGAATCCAATAGCAAGAGGTGACATATTTTTCTTCTTTTTATCAAACGCTGTGAGTAAAACAGTGAAAGTTATCATGAACGTTAGAATGACCTCTACCAGAAGAGCCCAGCCAGGGTCTGTCTCATTTATAAGCTTTGTTGCTCCATCGATGAACTGCGTGTATTTATTCGTCGGAACAGCAGCCTTAAAAAATGACAGTTTAGAAATGGAGATAACGTTCGCTGTTTTGAGGAAATTCAAAAGTAAAATGTCAACAACTAAACGCTTATACAATCGTTTTCTCAAAGTTCGAGCACAGGATGAAATCTAACCATTCAGTCGACTTAAAGGTGACTGAATGGAAGCGGAATGGTGGAGGAATGATCACTGATAAAGATCTTTTCCATTACAATTCCGTTACAATTCAGTGACCATTCATTCAACTGAATGGCACATACATTTCAGTGACCTTTCAGCCATCTTTCAGTGACCCTTCAGCCATACTTCAGTGACCTTTCAGCCATGTTTCAGTGACCTTTCAGCCATATTTCAGTGACCTTTCAGCCATGTTTCAGTGACATTTCAGCAATATTTCAGTGACCTTTCAGCCATGTTTCAGTGACTATTCAGCCATATTTCAGTGACCTTTCAGCCATGTTTCAGTGACCTTTCAGCCATGTTTCAGTGACCTTTCAGCCATATTTCAGTGACCTTTCAGCTATATATCAGTGACCTTTCAGCCATGTTTCAGTGACCATTCAGCCATATTTCAGTGACCTTTCAGCCATGTTTCAGTGACCTTTCAGACATATTTCAGTGACCTTTCAGCCATGTTTCAGTGACATTTCAGCAATATTTCAGTGACCTTTCAGCCATTTTTCAGTTACCATTCAGCTTTGTTTCTGTGACCTTTCAGCCATGTTTCAGTGACTATTCAGCCATATTTCAGTGACCTTTCAGCCATGTTTCAGTGACCTTTCAGCTATATTTCAGTGACCCTTCAGCCATTTTTCAGTTACCATTCAGCTTTGTTTCTGTGACCTTTCAGCCATTTTTCAGTTACCATTCAGCTTTATTTCAGTGACCTTTCAGCCATATTTTAGGGACCTTTCAGTGACCATTCAACCATATTTCAGTTACCATTCAGCTATATATCTCTGACCTTTTAGCCACATTTAAGTTACCCTTCAGCCATATTTCAATTACTATTCAGTCTAATTTTTTTTTTATTAATTAGTCACACTTCTTTTATTTTTCAGACATATTTCAATGACCTAAAACAATATCCTTGTCATCATCAAGAGAATTTCCATAAAAAATAAAACAACTTAATAAAGTAATAATTTTTTTTTTTAATGTGAAAGCATTTTGAAAATAAATAACAAAATGGTACAATCATATGAAAACATTGATTGCTCTTGACACAAAATATAATGCTTTTTTTTTTTGAACTCAAGCAATACAAACTTCTCTTCAATGGATTAATTCAAAAATGAAAATTGATGAGAAAAGGAATCATAAACATGTTTCTTTAAATACATTGGCAAAAACAAATATTTATAGATTTCACATTAGAGCAATATGGGCTGCATTTTAAAAAAAAATATATTTTACTATGATTGAAATGTGTCATGATAATTTTTAAGTAATTTAATCTTTCAGATCAATAAGTCTACAATAAAGTATGAATCTGTTCCAAAAGAGACCTCTGTAGCAAACAAATATGTAGTATTATTTAAGAAAACTATAGATTACAGAATGACAATAATGTCAATTTGCATTATTACGAGCTTGTAAATAGTTTTCTTCTACAAATATGAATGACAGAAGTTCATAAAATGCTCTTTCTCTTTATCCTTGAAATAGTTGATGATAATTTACCAATGGTAAATTTTAAAGTTGCAGCTCATATTGCTTTAAATAATATGTATTTGTCTGATTTGTGTCAGAAAATAATTATCACAGTTAAAAAATATTGTGAAAAAAAGTATTCATTACCAGTTTATAATTCTTAAACATATATATTAATAAATACGATGAGCTACTATTAAAATTGCACAGGCAGCTACTATTGTAAGATTGCATCTTTTCTAAAAAATAAATTAACAAAAATGATAACAATAAATATGAAATAAATTAATTCCTACAGACTACATAATATACAATAGTCAATCTTTTATTTGTGCATGATTGTCTCCTCGGGCTGTCCTTGAGTTCACTTCATCTCTTCAGTCCTTCACAAACTTAGGGCAGTCATCTGGGGCTGTTCTTGAAGAGAAGTCCTCATCAATCACCCTCTTCTTCAGCTGTCTCTTGTGCTGGGGGGTCAGGCTCTCTTTGTGGGCCTCTTCCAGTTTGTCTTTTAGCCTCTGGAAGGTTTCCCTCTGCCATGGCAGCCGGCGGACTTTAAAGTGTAGAAAATTCCCTCCTTCATCTTCTTCGGACTCTTCAGAGGACAGGTACTCTGGGGTCATCACCTCCATCAGCTTTGACCTGTCAAAGTCCCCAAGTTTGTCTCTGCTGATGTTAGTCAGAGTCCTCTTTAGTTTTCTTGCTCTCTGTAAAACAGTAAAGAAAATCTGTGATAAATTTATCTTCTTTAAGGAGGATCGGGGTCAACAAATTAACCACAAATTAACCACCAGATTTAACTTATTTTTTTGATACGGTATCTTAAGCTGTCAACTATCATTTGGCAAAGAAAAAAAATCATACATTTTAGTTTTAAAATTTGATCATTTTTGTATATTTTTATATGGAGCTCTTCTTTTAAAGGAGATAGAAATGGTCTTAAAATAGCTGCCACCCCCCAGCCTTGTTAATGGTTACTGTGATGTCACTTATTTTTGTGGGGGTTTAATTCTTGCTGTTTACCAGTTATGGGGAGACACCATGAATTTACAAGACACCAAGAAATATATAATTTTATCTGTATTTCAAAACATTTTCCAAACACAAAATCATGTCCCCACATACCAGGTCCAATAATTTTTTTTCTAAACCCTCAGAAATTTAATCCAACAAAAATATGTTATTTACAGTATTCTTCTATAAACTGATGAACTTCCCTTTCATAAATAAGGAAAAAAAATTATAAAGATTTTCATTGTAAAATCAAACTATAAACATTAATGCTGTTACAGAGATTTTTTATTTTGTACCTGTACACCTGCCATTAAACTTTTTTCATGACTTAATAATGACAAATTTGAAGGAAGTTTATATACATACTTCTCGCCTTCTGCTTTGACGTCTGCTTCTTGTGGCATGGTCTTTGTCTCGCCCGTTCTGTTTTCTTCTTTCGGAATCCCGTAGTGATATGAAGTATGTCTTGCAGGCACCTACAAAAAGGAATGAAAAATTAAAGGTAACAGTTGATGCTCAATAAAATAAAAAAAAAGAAGGTTTTATGATCAATGAGAACACTAAATGATACCCCATCTCCAATATGAATATAATGGCAGTAACCATGTTTTGCTATGGGAAACCCAAAAAATATGTGTCCAATCAAAATGTGAAATAGAATGTTCACAATTTTAAAAAAGATTCCAGAAAATCTCATCAAATTTCATTAAGTGGTGTATGGGAAGTTGCTGATAAAAATAATGTAAAACAAGATAATTCAGAGAATTTGTGTCCCCCGCTTAGGGAAAAAGTCGGATCCCCTGACTGAATTTGTAGAATTATTAAATGTTTGCATGTATACTGAAGCAAATAAAATACATGTATGTCAATATGCGTATAAAGATTTGATTGCTTATTCTTTATTATGTGTATACATAGAAGATTCTTTTTATAATCAATATTTATCACACTGTAATGATGATTTTATAACCTCATAAATTATTCTTTTCACATGTTGAATACTATCATTAAAAAAAAAGAAAAGTAAAAAAAAAATAAAAGGATCTGTCCGAGATTCGATCCCGGGACCTCTCACATGTGAAGCGGGAAACATACCACTAGACCACGGAACCGCTTTTAATGAAATGAAGTATATGCAGAAGTGAAGTAACATACATGTATATATTCATGTTTGGTATTATCAAAATTTTACACAATTCACGGTGTTTGATTTATTTAGCTTTTAACAGTTCTAATAGATGTACAATAAAACTCTGTTATAACGAAGTCACAGGGACCTATGAAATTACTTCGCTATAACCGTTATTTGTTATAACCGTATAGAAAAGTCATTAAATTTATACAGCTGAGGATTCAAGATGACTTCGTTATAGTCGTACATTAGCAATATCTGTGTTCGTATTAAACGAGTTTTGCTGAAATAAGAACATTAAGCCCTCCAAGAACATGTTTTATACGCAATAACTCTCCGCATGCCCCTGTGCTAAAAATAGCGACAGGCAATACGATAAATACTAGTAAAACAAACGGAGTGGGGCACTTTGAGAGGGTTGAGAGAGGTCCTAGGGAGTTTTGGTATAAAATTACATTACATAAGCTCAAAATCTTCTTGAAATATCGCCCGGAAATGATAGTATTACACACAGACAGAATGTATAGATTTACGATCTTGAACTTTGACCTTTTGACCTCAAAATCAAAAGGGGTCTTCCTTAGGCCACAGGTAGTTGTTATATTAAATTTCATTGCAATAGCTCAAATGGTTCGAGAGATATCGTGTGGAAACGAAAGTGTTATAACAGACAGAATTTGCTTATTAATGACCTTGATCTTTGACCTTTTGACCTCAAAATCAATAGGGGTCTTCCTTAGGCCACAGGGAGTTGCTATGCTAAATTTCATTGCAAATGCTCAAAGGGTTCTTGAGATATCTTGTGGAAACGGAAGCGTTACAGACAGACAGAAAGACGGACGGACAGATGGACCGACAGACCCAAATTAATATCCCCCACTTTTCAAGCGGGGGACAACAAATAGAGGAACAGCTGAGCAGATAGATAAATGGATCACATCCTAATCATCATATAACTGCCCACTTTTTCAAGTAGGGAGTATAGTAAGAAAAGCTTCACCAAGGAAAGCTTTGTGCCAACTTTTTTTTAAAAAATGGAACGGAAGGAGCAAGAATGTAAAAAAAAAGTTTAAATAAGGACACACAGACAGACAGACTGCAGATAATGGATGATCAAAAAAGCTCAACTCTACTTTTAAGCTCCACTGAACAAAGATTTGAAGTAGATGGACAAAGAAATACATGTTTTTTAATGCATCTTTGATTATGTTTATTATATCTGAATACTTAACACGACATCTATTCATCTAACAATTATTATAAAACATTGTCCGTGAATTTCTACTCACCGACACTATTGTCGGTGAATTGTCTATTCCGCGAATTTCACTTTTGTCGGTGACCTGTCTTTCGGTGAGTTGTCTGGCACCGGGTAATTTTCGCTCTTTGTCCTACCAAATAGGCCTATAAGACAGCTGTAAACAGGTTGGGACCACTCGTCCAAACGGGATATAATAGGCTATATATTATATATATGATATATTATCCAAAATAAATTTTTTTTTATTTTTTGCACTGTAAATTTATAGCCCATTTGGGATATTCTATCCCAAACGGCCTATTATATCCCATTTGGGCGAGTGGTCCCAACCTGGTAAAAGAGTGTAGCAGAAATATTTGTGGGGAAATATTTATGGAATAAAAATTATGAAATAGAAGAAGTTTTAACAATTTATTTAAAAAAAAAACAATACCCCCCACTTAAAAAAATTCCATTTATTTGCAGTTTCTGTTCATTTTTTTCTCAGAGGTTGCACATATTGAACATGTTGAAATGAAATTTAGTATACAGATTTTTCAGCTGAATATCTTGGTCAGGAAATGTTTTGGGTAGGATCGCACCATTTTAGACAGAGTTATGCCCTTTTGGACTTAGTAATTAAAATTCAAATTTGGGGGGAGTGGGGTATATGTGTTTTACAAACATCTCTTGTTTATCAAATTGTTAGGTCTGGACGCACTCGTTATCTCGTTGGTTTTATGGGGCGCACTAAATTATTTTGGTTTCAATTACTTGTCAAGATGTTTCTCTACACAAGGGCCTATGACAGGATAGTGTACTATATCTTATTACTGTAGTAGATGGGTTGGGAAAATTGACTTGGGAATGGAAATATGATTGAAAGAGGTCATATTTACAAAAATAAGATAAAGTGTACATTATATACTTACAAGAAATGACAATTATTTTCATTTTAAAAATGATGGATTTCAGTCACATCCCTGACTGAATATGGCAGCCAATGAGAAATAACTCTGGTATATTTGGTGTATAGCATAATTGATAAGGAGGAGAAATGATTTTTCTTTACCTTTTGACCTATTGGTTGACCTCACTAACTTTTGCAAATTGTGGATTGGACTATACATCACAAGTCAGCATCATGAATTGCCTTGATACAAGGTTGTAGACATTTAGAAGTTGTTAATTTTTTTTTAATTCAGGCCTCACTGAATATTCTGATATGCAGGAACAGTTATATGCCCTTGGGTTAAAAATAAGATTGAGTATTACCGTAATCTAAACTTACATTAAGTGTTTTAAAACTTCATATCGCAATTACATAATAACTGTATAGGTAGGAAAGGACTATTGGATTGGGGCAAATGAGTTCTTGAATACAATGTAAGATCCATCATTGTAGACTTGAAGATCATTGTAGATCATTAGCAACGGATAAGTATAAAATCCTGGTTGAATGTCTTGCTATACAATTGCTGAAACAGCCTTATTAGTTTTTGAGAGGAGCTTATCCAAAAATAATACAATTTTTAACAATATTTTTAAGTAAGCAGGCTCTTCTGATTAAATTTTTATTGAAAATTGTCACACATTAAAGCAGATAAAATATTCTAAACTTTCCTTATTTGAAAATCTATTATTTGGAGTTCAATACTTTCTACTTTTTGCATAAAATTATTTCAATCATTTGATTGTCACTACTGTAAACAATATGCCATGATCCCCAGTAATCGCAAGATTTAGAGCTTTCATGATTCACCCACAAAAGAGCAGTAATAAGTTAAATAACTGCAAGGTACTTGTGATATTATGTATTGACACATCAAGTTGCAAATTTTATAAAATTATTCAGTCAGGGATTTGATTGAAATCCATTTTTTTTATAAAAAATTATTGATAATTATCTTTTCTAAGTACACATGGTATATTTAAAATGTGAATTATTAAAATTATTTTCATTCCCAAGTCAATTCAATTTTTCCAACCTATTTACAGTAATTTGATATGGTACACTATTCTGCCATAGACCTTTGTGTAGAGAAATATCTTGACAAGTAATTAAAACCAGATTATTAGTTAGTGCTTCCCTTAAAACTTATCAGATAATTAAGAGCACCCAGACTTAAGAATTTGATTTAAAAAAGGAAGGATGAAATACAGTCATAATTAATTTCGGAAATAAATTTCAAAATAGATATGACTGTTTTTCATCATTATTCTAAAAAGTAATGGATTTAAGTCACACCCCTGTCCTGACTGTTATTTGTCTATTTGACTACTCATATTATGTACCATGGGCTTTTTTATTCACTAAAAACAAAAGAGAGTACCATGGTAATAAGTTCAAACACTTGATTGATGTCATGATGCCTAAAAGTGGTGGTTTAAGATTAAAAATGAAGAAAATGTAGTTTTTTTGGCTAGTAAAATCTATTCAATGGAAAGTGAATATTTTACTGGTATGTGTCAAATTTCACTGACAAATATAATAACAAAAAGCCTTGAAAGTAATTGTTTGACCATTTTGCAGTTTTATATCAGCACTTTATTTAATCACTAGGTCATGCCAAAAAGGAAGAGATGTCCAATATGCCATGAGGATTTTCCCCGAAGTAGCTACTATCGACACTATGCAAGTTTCTTTGATCCAAGCACAAACTCCTGGCTCGACCATGGGGAGGCTGCAGTTCGAGAGATGTCCGACAAGAGGTTTAAAGACTTGATTGAAGACTTTGGGAGAGCTTCAGACCATCCCGGTATGTATATATAAATGTCACTGATATATTATATAGTGTATGTGAATAACCAAAACAAGTTATTTTTCAAAATTTGTTTTAAAATTTTTAAAAATGTCATTATTTTGGGTTATTTCCCCATTATTTTGTTCATTACTTTTACTTTATTATATGCCCATCTTAAAACGGGACATGTTATGTTAAAGGCTTCGTTTCCGTCCGTCTGTCTGTTAGCGCTTTTGTTTCCGGCTCATAACTTTAATACTATTAGACCTAGGATTATCAAACTTATCAAGTATTGTTTAATATGATGGGCATTTGACAAGGTCTAACACAGCCAGCATAGAAATCTATCAGTGATGTAATATTTATTATAATTACTGCCTACATCACAGGGGATGGATAAATATCTTAAGGAATGGAAAAATCATCAAAATCTTAGAATCAAAGTTGACATGATTTCCTTGCACCTAAACTATTCAAGAAAATTGTAATTTTTTGAAGGGCATATCATGCTGTGACGCGGCACTTTATTAATTATAATTTCAAGCCTTCTAGCATATAATGGGGTCTGGTTTTTCCTATCCTAAAAGGGGTTGTGTGTAATACCAAATTAAACTGCATTAGGTGGGCCCTTAAAGAATTCGGATGGAAAACATTTGAGTTATATTCTCAAAACAATGAACATAAAAGTAAAAACTATTTCACAAAAAATTACCAAAAACCCTAGAGTAAATTTAAGTAGACCCGGTCTCGTTAAGTCATTATAGGTGAGGGAAATCCCCTTTCCCAGAGTCATTGGGACAATCCTAAAAAAAACAGTTCATTTTATTTATAAAACAAATCATGGATTGTGATTTATCCAAAGTTACAATTGGGGTACTTAAATTATATAGAAACAGCACTTTTCAAACTACTAGTACATGATGTTAACTTGATGTAATGTATAGTCATGATAGTATGTTAATTATTTGATGATTTAAAAAAATTAAAGGAAAAAATTTGCAAAAATTAACAATTTGTTACAAATTTGTTCCAAACACACATTTTTGTTTATGTTAGATGGCAGTGATTGGGTAGATATGAAAAGTAATTGATTAAATTACAAATACTTTAGATGTTTAATAAACATGATAAAGTAACCCTTTTATTCAACAGTGGAGTGCATTGTGTAATAATTCTATATTCAATCTTCCTTAGATGCAGATGATTGCTTGGATGACATGCCACCTACGTCATCAATGGCAGCAGAAGTTTCAGAAGAAAGTGATCAGGTGAGACATCTTTAGTGTAATTTGTTAATAAGTATTGATAAAAAAACATTCCAAAAATGTTGATTTTGTATAACAGTGATTGGGATAAGCACGCACCCTGCACCATAGTCGCATTACATTTTAAAATGTCACATTAAAATTAAAAACACTGCGCCATCATGGCGCATGTAATGCACTGCATACTTTTAAACTTTGAGCTTTCCCCCAAGCGCTCCTAGTCTTTCCCATAACAATCGCTGACAACTTATGCTTGAAATAAAAACAGTGTTTTACATCGTTCAGTTAAAGAGTTTGTATGACTTTAGTTTCTCCAGTATCTAATCAAACAGTTACATGTTTTCTGATTTCCTAACGGGCACGAAATAAACTGGTGTCAGGAGTGCAGCATGCTGCATAAGAAAATACCTCGTACCGATAAAGGACAGACTTTTGTTAATTCTCACAATCCTAACAAACAAATTTAAGTAAATCGCTACAAAATGACTCGGAATAAGTATAACATGCTGACAGAACGAATCGAGATAAATCTGACGGTAAGACTGATGATGTAGTCTCGGAGGAAAAACCAAAACGAAAATTTAACATAAATTTGAAGGAAGCAGTATAGATCTAAACCAAGCTTTAAATCATTTTAAAGATGTCAAACATCAGACACAAAAAATAAAGAATTGAAATTAAATTGCAGTGTTTATTTATTTTCTGACACTTGTGAATACAAATATACTAATTTTGTATCTTTTAATGTCATCATTCAATAATTTGACAATTTCAATTAAGTAAATCAACTGAAATTCAAACAGCAAGTAATCAATTGCAAATTTGTAACTAGGAAATGTCCCATGAAAAAGTCTGTTTGGCGCATTGAATTTTGAAATGTCACATTGACACTAACTTGGGGTGCGTCATTCACATTTACTCCCTAGCTTATCCCAATCACTGGTATAATATGATATTTTTTCAACAATCAGTTTGCAGAGTGTCATGACACATAATTGCAATAAAAAATTTTTAATACAGAAATAAAAAAAAATGTTGCAGTGGAATTACAATGTATTACTATTATTAATGTTTCATTTGGTTGCATCTTTGTTTCATTCATTAAGATACATAATAAGCAATTATATTTCATTGCAAATGTTTGTAAAAAAAAATTGTGAACACCTCTAGATCCATTTAGTATTTGTGATTTGACACCTTCTCTGAAAAACCCAACAGAGGGTATTTGTCCCTATTGGACAGTTCTAGTTTTTATTGAATATGATACAACTTCCTGCTAATTCATTAAAGAAATGAATTAAGGTACCGGGTAATATTTTTTCGCTTGATCGATATATCAAAGATAAAAATCAACGGAAAATATTGTCAATGTGCATAGGATTTCATCATGTTCATTTGCATATTTTTTCCTCTGAATTTCAAATCAAACATATAAATATGTATCACAATCCATCAATGCTGAAAAATCTGAAGGATTAAGAGATTATCTTGCAAGTCATTTCCCAGATTTTGTAGCATAAATAATGTCTTCAGAGTTCAATTGTTTATACCAGTAATCTCAAAGTCAAACATTTAACAAAACTATGCTGATTTTTTTCTTCTTTCCCATCCCATAACTGTATTGTTGTCATGTAGACAATTTGATTTCTTTAGCAAATGGGGATCATTTAAAAAGAAACAAACGAAAGTAGTAAATATATCCAGAACATAATGAACGAGTTTCAAAGTTCTGGAAAATATCTATTAAGGCCAAAATAAAAAATACTCCTGTTTCCTGTCACCCGACCTACCCTACATTTTACCCTCCGACCCTAAAAGTTTTTATTACATTTTCATTTTTTGGATAACTATTTTTCTAAAATACTGAAGTTGACCAATGATATTTACAGAATTAATACATCACAAGTGTACAGGTTACCTTTACTTTATAAATCTTGATTAACAAACTTGCTTTGAAACTGTTAACATATCATTTTCTTGTTATTACAGTTATTACATGCTATATGTTCTGCATTCATTAAATTTTGAAAATAAAATTTTTTCTCAAAATAAAATTTTTTCCCTACCTACCAACCCTAATTTTTTTGGGCAGGGGACAGGATACAAGAGTATATTTTATTTTGGCCTAAAGTAGAAGTATCTATTCCTTGAAACAGAAAACTGGAATCGTGTAATATACATGTACATGTAAAAACAGCCATAGTAGTTCCGACTGCCTAGTGCAAGCTAACTCAAGATTCCATGCATTAAATTGATGCAGTTATCAAAAGAATTTTTTATCCAATCAGAATCAGTTATTTTATAAAAGTTAAATTATATGACTGTCTGTAACTGAACTTGAGTAAATTCATGCACATTCAACACATGTTCAAGTATATTCAGTCATCTGGTGGGTATTACTAGTGAGCATTTTTCATTTAATTGTTTACAATTTCATTTCATAAGATATATCCTTTTCATTTCCCAATGGAAAATCATATACTCCAGTGATGCATTTTCACTTTTATTTGGCCTAAAGTGCCATTTCAGACTGTTCCATAGTTTTTGGACTGGTCTCTGTTTGCTGGTTTATTTAAAATTGTGTCTAAAAATATTGTACATAAAATTTCAGTCAGACATGGAGGATAGTGAAGAAGAAAATGAGGATGAACCAGAGCACTGGGACATACCAGCCAACCTTTTGGACAATGAACTCGGAATTGAGGTCCATCCATCCCCCATGAAGAAAGTCAACAGTTTGCTTTTCTGTGTACTGTATGCTATTCTGTACATTCAGGTTATACACCACATCAGTGATAATGGTGTTGAGTATCTTTTACGATTTTTGTTCAGAATTTTTCAAGTGCTTGGTGCAGACATAAATAATCAAGTGCTAACAGAATTTTGTATTGGATTTCCTCCAAGTTTGTATTTAGCCAGAAAAATATTGAAGCTAGATAGAGATGAATTTCAGCGATTTGTTGTGTGTCCCTCATGTTTTTGTTTATACGATTTTTTGGACTGTGTATATGAGAAAGATGGATTAAGATACGGAAAAAACTGCTCTGCTGAAATAAAAGTTAGAGGGAGATATGTAAAATGTAATTCTCCCTTAGTTAAACAGATTATTTGCAAGGGTAACATCCGAAAATTTTATCCATTGAAAGTTTACTGTTTGAACAGTGTAATTAATGGTATTGAAACTATTTTGAAAAGGAAAGAAATTGGGCAATTTTGGCAACACTGGCAAGACTGGGGTTCGGATTTAACAATTTTAAGAGATGTATATGATGGACGAGTATGGAAAAATTTTTTGTCCTTCAATGGGGAGCCCTTTCTCTCTAACAAAAACAGTGTTGCATTAATGATGAATATAGACTGGTTTCAGCCCTTTAAACACAGGAATGATTATTCAGTAGGAGTTATTTATTTTGTTATGTTAAATTTACCCAGAAGCATTAGATTTAAGTCTGAAAATGTAATAATTGCTGGATTAATACCTGCTTTCAAAAAAGAGCCACATAGTATCAATAGTTTTTTAGATCCAATTGTTAATGAATTACAAACACTTTGGAAAGGAGTCAGGTTAGACACAAGTTTGTTTAATTCTTCATCTGTTTTTCGAGCAGCCCTGCTCTGTGTGTCTTGTGATATACCAGCTGCTCGCAAGTGTTGTGGATTTAAATCGCACGCTGCTCGTTTGGGTTGCCATAAATGTTTAAAAGTTTTTCCTGGTGACTTTGGGGAAAAAAGAGACTATTCAGGTTTTGACAGGCAGAATTGGAAACCCAGAACAAAATATACTCATAATTTACATGCCAGAAGGGTTAAGAATGCAACAAGTAAGACACAGGCGGATAAACTTTCTAGGGAATATGGGACTTTTTATAGTGTGTTAATAGAGTTGGAATATTTTGATGCAATACAATTTTGTGTTATTGACCCAATGCACAACCTCTTTCTTGGAACGGCAAAAAAAATGTTCAAACTTTGGGTTGAAAGTGGCAAATTGTCCCCGTCAAACTTGGAAACTATAGAAGAAAGACTAGAATCTCTAAATTCCTTAACTGACATAGGAAGAATTCCCACACATATTTCTGGAAATTATGGTGTATTTTCTGCAGCTGAATGGAAAAACTGGACAACCACATTTTCACTCTATGCTTTGTGTGGAATACTACCAGAGAAAGATTACAAATGTTGGGAAAAATTTGTATTAGGTTGTCGTTTTCTATGCAAACCATTTCTAACTCTCACTGATATTCAGAAAGCTGATCTATTGTTACTTGACTTTTGCAAAACTTTTGAAAAGATTTACCCATTAAAAGAAGTCACTTGTAACATGCATCTACATAATCATTTAAAAGATTGCTTGTTTGATTTTGGTCCCATGCACGTTTTCTGGTGTTTTTCTTTTGAGAGATATAATGGGGCTTTTGGACACTTTCATACAAACAATAAGGCAGTAGAAATTCAATTCATGAGAAAAATCATGACTTCAAAATTCTGTGATAACTTTAAAGATGTCGTGCTGTCAACTACCGAGGTTGACTTTTCTGAAGTATTCTTCAATTTCAGTAAATCTTTGTGGGAAAAGTTAAAGATAACAGATATCGTAAGGTTTCTAAAAACATCTGAAATTGGGGCTGACTTCCTTTTTGATGAAGACTTGATGTCTTTTATTTCATTACCTAAGGTTTACAAACTGTCTGCACTTGACAAAGAAGACATTGTGTATCTCATGTCTTCATACAGGAAAATGTTTCCTTCTGTGTCTCTCAGTATTGATAATATGGGTGAAATTATTAAGAAGTATGGATTTATTACAATATTAGGTGAAAATTTTGGATCAAAACAAATTAACAGAAAATTAAGGTCATCAGATGTTTTAGTTAATTGGACAACGGAACAAAACAACTTTGAGTGCTCTCCCCTAGAACTACGTCCATGTAGGGTAGATTTTTATTTCTCTCACACAGCTTTGATTGATGGAAAACATATTACAAATATTTTTGCAAAAGTTTCATGGTACAAAGAATATTCAGAAAGATACAAGTACGGAAATGCACTTCAAATGTGGCACAGCAACAAATTTGAATCCGTAGTCGATAACTGTTTTCTTCCCATTCAGAAGATTCATAGTAGATTCTCGAAGGGACTTACTGGTGTGGGAAAGGATCTTATGTGTATATGCCCTATTCCTAGGAGAGTCCTTAGTGACATAGATCATTAGTGGTATCAATAAAATCGTGCAGGTACAAATGGCATTGTTTTGGTACAAAGTATTGGGAGGAGAACCAAGTTTAGCTGATATTTTGTCACATTGTTTTTTTTTTAGATTACATGTGAGCCAGTTCTGTTGGAGTAGAATCAAGTTCGCTTGATGTTCTACCGTGTCGTAGAGCTACTCCAAATTTTTATCATGATAGTGTTAGTTATTTTTTTTAGATTACATGTGAGCCAGTTCTGTTGGAGTAGAATCAAGTTCGCTTGATGTTCTACCGTGTCGTAGAGCTACTCCAAATTTTTATCATGATAGTGTTAGTTATTTTTTTTAGATTACATGTGAGCCAGTTCTGTTGGAGTAGAATCAAGTTCGCTTGATGTTCTACCATGTCGTAGAGCTACTCCAAATTTTTATCATGATAGTGATAGTTTTTTTTTTAGATTACATGTAAGCCAGTTCTGTTGGAGTAGAATCAAGTTCGCTTGATGTTCTACCGTGTCGTAGAGCTACTCCAAATTTTTATCATGATAGTGATAGTTTTTTTTTTAGATTACATGTAAGCCAGTTGTGTTGGAGTAGAATCAAGTTCGCTTGATGTTCTACCGTGTCGTAGAGCTACTCCAAATTTTTATCATGATAGTGATAGTTTAAAAATTTTTTAGACTACATGTAAGCCAGTTGTGTTGGAGTAGAATCAAGTTCGCTTGATGTTCTACCGTGTCGTAGAGCTACTCCAAATTTTTATCATGATAGTGATGGTTTTTTTAGATTACATGTAAGCCAGTTCTGTTGGAGTAGAATCAAATTTGCTTGATATTCTACCTTATTGTAAAACTATTTCAGTTTTGTATCATTTTTAAGTTGATTTTTTTTCACTGATCATACATGTTCTAAGTTATTCTTGTTGAAATTAATTGAAATTTACCTTGTAGTGCTTTTTTAGTTATTTATATATTAAATTGTTTTGTGTAGAGCTCTTTTTTTTATTATTAAAAATATTCTTTTTGACAAATTATCCACATTCACTGTTTTTTGTACTTGTTTTTTTTTTAAATCATGTTGTAGATTATTTATGTTTTATATCAGACTTAATCTGTATTAGATTTCCTATTTTGATTTAGGCATATCAGCACTGACCCTAAGACCATAAACTTAGAATAGACTTCTAATTTTGATATTTCATATTTTGAGTTTGGTTGACATATTAGCTTAAAATTTTGCAATTATTTATAACAGTAAAAATCAAATTTATGATTTAAATTTTGTTTCCTTATATTATCAAATTATTTTCAAAAGTTATACATGTACTAGTTTTAAATTTTGACATAAGTCTGTTATCAGTTTATGGTCTTGGGACCTTGTCATATTAACGAAAGAAAAAATGAAGAAAATGTAAATCAGAATCATCATGGACTAATACTAGTATTTTTCATTATGTAGAATGCAACATATTTGCTGTGTTAATGTGTAATTTTATAGTTTGATATTTCAATGATATTAAGTAAACATATACCAGGTGGTTCAATGAAATAAAATGTTGTAAATGTGTAAAGGTTTTCCTTCTTTCATTTCTTCAGCGGAATTATAAAAAAAGCTGTGATAGATGTACATGCTTATTTAAATTACTTTTTATGAGCTATATATGCTTTATACAGTGTGCCTTCAGATATCCAGACGCCAGAAATCGGAATGCTTCAGTTTCCAAATGATTTTTCATTTGAACAGAATTTTTAAAACATTATTTTGTCAAGTTTAACTGGTTAGTCAGTTCATCCAGATGCTTCACATATCTGGACAAATTACTCAGGAATCAAAGCGTCCGGATAACTGAGGCTCCACTGTATTAAAAAGCATTCAAAAATAGAAACACAGCATGAAGTTTGTTTCTAAGCAAAAAGTAAATCTTGACCTCGAGAAAATATTATTTAACAAATATTATTTAACAAAGACTATGAACACTCTTGTAGACAGGTCATGACATAGAAATTAATTGTGTTGGTAGACAATCACAATATTAAGGAAAAGGAATATTGACAGCAATGTTCCTGAAATATGCATAAAGAGTAAAGCGATTTGTCTAATTTTAGTTGAAACCAAGTTAACCTACATTATATATTGACTAAAAGTATCAAGCCATATTTGAATTTTTTTTGATGACTGAAGGGTCACGGAAACTTGACCAGAAAGGAAACTAAAATTTTGAAAATTTGCTGAATGTTGAACTGAAATGTCACTTAATGTGGATTGAAAAATGACAAAATGTAGCTGAAAGGTTATTGAACATTGGCTGAAAAGGTCACTGAATTTTGACTGCAAGGTTACTAAAACAAGACTGAAAGGTCACTAAATGTTGGCTGAAAGGTCACTGAAAGTTGGCTGAAAGGTCACTGAAAGTTGGTGGAAAGGTCACTGAAAGTTGGCGGAAAGGTCACTGAAAGTTGGCTGAAAGGTCACTGAAAGTTGGCGGAAAGGCCACTGAATGTTGGCTGAAAGGTCACTGAATGTTGGCTGAAAGGTCACTGAAAGTTGGCTGAAAGGTCACTGAAAGTTGGCTGAAAGGTCACTGAAAGTTGGCTGAAAGGTCACTGAAAGTTGGCTGAAAGGTCACTGAAAGTTGGCTGAAGGGTCACTGAAAGTTGGCTGAAAGGTCACTGAAAGTTGGCTGAAGGGTCACTGAATGTTGGCTGAAAGGTCACTGAATATTGGCTGAAGGGTCACTGAATGACGACGTAAAGGTAACTGAATGTTGACTGAAATGCTAACTGAAATGTCACTGAATGTTGTCTGAAAGGTCACTGAAAAGTGTGTGCCATTCAGTGACTGAAGTGTCACTGAAATGTTGCTGAAATATGTCATTCAGTTTTGACTGAAAGGTCTGATTTCTTCCTGTGGAGGGGAGAGAGAAGGGAACAAGTCAAAACCTGTAATTTAATTGGAGGTTCAATAATCTCCACTCCGCCTTTTTGTGATAAATGCCTGATAAATAATAATTAAAAAACATCGCCTGCAGTTGAGGGTAACATTGAAATTCTTCACCCAAGGAAATACCAGATACAACCAATTAACATGAAAGTATAGGGTAGGGTGGTGTAATTTCGACCACCTGGTTAATTTCGACCTTTCATAAATACCTTAATATATTTTGTTTATGGCGTATAATTGTGTATGTACATTTATATTATGCAGAAAGAAAACGTATTTTTAATATATTGTAAGCTCCCCACGGATGGCCATCCTGGAATGGGGGCTATACAAAATAATTACACACAATACTTCTCAAGGTCACTCCTTATTTCTTGCTTCATATTTCTCAATAAGGACAAGGCTTGGTATCAGTTTAATAATTGGTTTATTAATTGATCATTCAACAGGAAATAACAATAGGTAAACAAACATCTATATTGGAAACATATAGATAATTAATATTCATTTTGTCCCACAGTGTCAACCGTATTTTCAGGGATAAAAAAATGATAATAAAGTTGATTTGGCATGAAAAAGCTCTAAAAATATAACATCAGGTGTCCAGTGTGTTGGGAGATAATTTACAGTTGTCTCACCTAGGTTTAGGCTACAATCCTGCGATGTTGCTTGTGCAACTTATCTGCCAGAGACTGGCGAGGCACTTATATTTATAACCTTCGGAAATAGTCATGTGATACAAATTGACCAGTGAAAAAGCTGTACGGTGTCACTCAACCAATCGCAGCGCTGTACGGCGCCGTACAAACAGAGATCTGTCAAACAGTGTCAAACAAGGCTGCCGTACAATGAGGATAATAACTATAAAACGGAATTAAAATGTGAAAAGACAAAATAAACAATAAATATGGACTACAAAAGATGTTTTCATCTACTGTAAGTAAACAATTCATGTGAATTAAACGCGCATTTCATGACAGAAAACTGCAATCGTATAGCAGACGATATTCAAATAGCTTGGTCATAGTAAAAATGTGTAACTACCATAAAATCACGTTTAACATAAAATCCCTTGATAAATCTTAGTAAAACATATTCAAACATTAATTTTGTGGATATTCACAAGCAATTATAACATCGAATTGCATAACAAAATACATCTTGCTGAAATACGAAACTCTGGCTAATACAAATAAGATGTCGGCGGGATGTAAACAACTTCCATGACTCCAATAATCGTGTGCAATTATGGCTATGTCAAGCGCTTATTTGACTCATAAATAATCAAGTAAAATACAGTAACATGCAAAGATTCTGAAGGTATGCACATGAATTCATAAAATATAGCATTTCCTGTATAAATCCAAACAACAAGTATGTCAAATGTGCTAAAAATAGACAATATCACGTTGAGTAAATAATCAAAGGACTGAAATGTATTAGTGTCATTAATGCATAATAAAATCAACCCAGATAATTTTCCCAATAAATGTTGACACAATTAAATCATAAAAAAATAAACTAATTTATTAAATTCTACCCCAGGCCATTACACTATTGTGTCCAAAATAATTTTAATTCCATGAGCGTTATTAAGATCGTTACTGGAAAATTACATCAAAGAAAAGGCTTTATCACCCTAAAAATTACAGACGAGTATATTTTTTACCACTACGGCGAACTATCAACTCAGAAAAATCTTGTCTGGAAAGACAATCAATGGATATCCCTGGCGTGACATTTATCAAATACATTGTATTATTTTGAAAATGAAATTTATACCCTTTTAATTTATAGTATTTGGTTTTACAAATCAAATTGCAAATCAGCTGAACAGAAATCGACCCAAGTTATCCCTACATCATGAATACGGCGTTGGTTGGTAACTTCGACCATTGTAAAATGACGCAATTTACTATCTGTCACTAGAAAGAATTCATGACCGTCCAGAAAAAATATTGGGATAAGTATTATGTACATTAATACCTGGTAGAAACTAGTACAACAATAGTGAAAAATCATTTGTTTAATTACATGCGGTTTAGATGCCTATGTAGCATGCCCTAACCAATTGGCAAATCGGCGTCATAGACATCTGGTGCACTCGATGTCTTCGAATAAGGTACATTTTGAAAATTGTCATTTTTTTTGTCAGTAATTTTACTCGCTCTTTTATGCTGTACGGCAGAAAAATTTTAATTCATATTTTCTTTTACTACATTAGAGCTGAGGCCAATTATTTCCTTTGTATTAGCCTATCGGTCGAAAATACCCCGTGTGCGGTCGAAATTACCCAACTCACATATTTTGTAAATCGAACGCATTTATTTCATATTATGACCGAAAATATATACAAAATCAATGTAATCTGAAAGTTAAAAGGTATTTCGAAGGTAAAGGATCCAGTAAAAGTTGAAGCATAACATAACAGTGACATACATCGAAATTACACCACCCTACCTTAATATATAATAATACATACAAGGGCCAATGCTCCTCCTAGGATACCTCCCACTGTCTGAGCAATGATAAAAAATACAGCAACAAGCACTGGTAGCGTATCATTCCAAGCCAGAGCGAATGTTATGGCTGGGTTAAAATACCCACCGCTACAAAACAATCAACAGTTCTTTTGAAGATTTTTTATGTTTCAAAATGGTAACAGTGTTATAAATGATTAAAAATAAACATTGATTTATATTCCTTTTTGTATATGTGAAAAAAAACCGGTTTTTGGATGTATTTTTACATCATTTTTAAAATTCTGGCCTGAAAGATTTGAATACGAAAAAATATATCTGAAACGATGAATTCCCCTAAAAGCACTTTTTCGTCCATTAAAAAATTTTTTTGAATTTAATTCATTGATAGATATAATGTTTTATAACATTTATAACACTAGCTGAAATCCTGCGCAAGCGCGGGGAAATTAATTTTTTTTTTTACAGAATTATTGAAAAAACTATCTTTTAGATTCTATTGACAGTTTATTACACAGGAATATATAGTATGACGAAATACATCAAAGTCCCGCAATTAGTTTAGGAGCAGAAATAAATAATTATAAGAAATACATTTCCTAATATCTTTGGATTTTTTTACTTCTACAAATATCTGTTTCATTAAAGGCCTCTACTTCTTACATGTTATAAAGCAATTTTATTCTGTTGTACTATATTACACATCATGTACTACATATAAGATACCCGGGTATTTTTTTTAAAAGGGGGGGGGGGGCTTACTTTTTATCTCAAATGTACATACAGCCTTAAGAGGTATAAATAAATTTTCAAAATAAAAGACTGTATGTAGAAAGTCAACTGAAATGTATTCATCAAAGAACACATTTTTAAAGCATTTAAGTGAATAAATTAAAAAATACAATTTTACCATTTTATTTGTCTTAAAAAATAACCATGGCCATTTATTTATAAAACATAAGCACAACTTACTAAGATATATATATTCACAAACTCATTGCGTTAACAATTTCTTTACATTTATTTCCATGTCCATTGATGATAAACAATCGTCTCGATTTTCTTTTAGACATCGGGTTCGATGTCACCTGGCTTTCTAGAACTTTCAACAAATAGCGAGATCGGACATAAACGGAAAGGATTTGCAAATTTTGTTTTTTAATCAATGACAAAAGCTTCTTTCTTTTATATCGCTTAAATCAAGTTTTGATTGAATAATTCATAAATGACGTTTTATGAAATGAAAAAGCGCTTTCTTATTTGTCAGTTTTTTTTAAAGTGTCAGTGACTTAGATCCGCCACCACTTTTCTCTCTTCAGTGCTATTTCGAAGCTGTTATTCGAAAATGAAAGTAGACTTTTAATCAAATTTACGATAATTACTATGCGAGTGAAATCTGAATATAGTTTACGGACATCACCTTATACCTAGTGTATTCCTACAGGCTTTAGTGAGAACTCTTGTACAGCCGTTTCAGAGTTTATTTGCAAAATTTGTTAATTTATAAGTATAGATTAGATAGAATGTTTTTTTAATTAGTTTTTATTGAAGATAGAAGATCATAGATAATTGTTAAACAGTTTTGTTGTGCTCCTGACTGCAGTAAAATTGAAAAATAAGAAAGAACACAAAATATCATGTGTTGGCAACATCAAGTGGTATTTAAATTATGCAATATTTTTAGCCCTATAGTTAAGTTTTAAAAAGCATGAAATGTTCAATGTGTAAATTTTTCCATAATAAAATCAAAGAATCATATGTCATTTTATATACTGTCATGCTTTGGAGCAAAACATTAAATTCTGCACTCCTGACATTAGTGGGTAAGTACAGGTGCTCTCATTAATGTATTCTTGGATTTATCTAACATTTTTAAATTTTAAATTGTGTATGAGACATAATTTTATACTTTGAAAATTCTTTTTTTTTTAACTTTATTGTCTTTCAGATTTTTAAAATCGATATTTTTAACTATTTTTACGGTTTCAATGCTGACATGGTACACGAGTAACATTTCTTTTCTACATCAGCCATTAACACAACTTTTTAAACAATAGTTGCTACAGGCTACATTTAAAGTTGAAAGTATTTATTTTAAACAAAAAACATTATTATTTATTTCACACACCTTAAGAATATTGGAAGTGTTGCACTCCTGACATTTTAGCTTCAATTTCAGGCATGTGTTTTTGTGATTTGAGATATCAGTCAGATATTTGGCATGTATATGGACACTAACCTAAAGTCATATGCTGAGACATAGAAACCTATTCCAATTGCCCGTATTTTTAGTGCGGTGTGGCCAATTTTTTAAATTCACCCATATATCATTTTGCTATTATTTTCAATATATTTGATTTAGCAAGAGCAATATATTTTTTAAAAAATTCCCTTGGAAGAACAATATCTGTCATTAGTTAAATAAATTCATACCTAATGTCACCAAATGCATAAATCAAGGATACATAACCAAATCCATAAACTAGCGCCGAAAGTGAATTTTCAAACAAATCTCCGTAATAAAGGTGGATTGGAGCACACAAACACAAGAGAAATACCAGAAATGCAGTCCCTAAAAACTCGGCTAGTGTTGGACGAATATAATTATCTACTACTGAACCACCACACAGCGCACGATCCGATTCGTGTCGACGTATCGTTTGAGCTTCGTCGGCCATCTTTTTCCCTGCAAAGTGTGCAGTAAACTTGTAAGCTTTTAAGGGGGCCGACTATAGTTTCCATTGCGCAATATTTCGCGCATCATAGTAAAATGAAGCGTATTTACTGTTTTAATGCAACTTTTTTCGCTTTATTATTAAGATTAAACAAAATTAAGAAATTATAGGTATAAAAATGTAATTACAATTTGATATAACTGGTTATTTAACCGATTTTGCTATTGATAGGTACTTAAAGAAAGGAGTAATAAAAATGTTATTAAAGAAAAAGTAATAAAACATACGCTCTTGAAATTTAAAACATAGAAATTTGAGAATATCTCCATTATTGTTATTATGTTTTCATGTGAATCAATTGTGTACGTCATATTTTGTAATACTCTATAAAAATAGTAAAAGTTGCTAATTTTTGGCATTTTGAGATGCCCCCGCTGGTAACAAGATGGTAGAATTTTGTGTTTCTTACAAATATTGTGTAATATAGTATTACTCATCAAATATTATAGTTTGAACAAAATGTCTATTGTAGTATTTGTATAATTTGCCTTAAAGTGCTAAAAATTGGCATTTTCCTATATAATCCTATTGTAAATTTACCTGTATTTTGAGACGGTCCCTCAAAAATACCTGGACGGTAGATTTCCTCCAAACTTTGCATGTACACTGAAGTTAATGTAAGTTATATATGGTATAAAAATGAAGAGTTTCGCTATTGTAGTTTTCACACAATAAAACTATAGTCGGCCCCCTTAATATTTATGAAAGTCGTTCAAGTAAATCTATCAGTTTAGATTACATTTGTTGCATTTCTCTGACATAAACATAAAAAAAATTCTATCCAATTCTGAAATTTTTTGAAATTTATAAATGCCATATAGTAGAATAATATAAATCAATAATTTCTATATACATATGAAAACAGGCAATTTTAAACACAACACTACATTAAAGAAGATTGAATACATTTGTAAAATGTTTATGCACGTGTGTATTTTAATGTACATCCTGGGGTCAGTTTCACAAAAAAAAAACTTTCAACAAACCCCCAAACCTTGTAGTTGATTGAAAGATATTACTAATTGCCTATTTCTTCTGTAAATTGCTTTTTTCTGTTACTTATTGTTCATTTTCGTTTTTTTTTCTTTTGTACATTCTTTTATTATTACTATTTATTCTGTGCATGTATTCACATTGACCTTGTTGCAAGGAGAAGGATAAAATATTCTGATTCTGCCAACCAAACATATTCATTTTTACATTTGTGAATGAAAAATTTGTTTAAAATAAAGATATTATTAAATTTGGGTGTGGTTTCTGTTAAAATTTTATTGAATTAAAATGGTTTTAAATTTCTAAATTCTTTTTAAAAAGATTAAAATCATTTCTAAATTAAGTTATTCACACAATCAAATTTTGATCCCAGTTTTTCTGGTTTCCGATCTTATAGAATGGGTTGGTCCAACGATATCAACGTCAACACCTTTTAGTTAACCTGTATGAGTCAGTAAGTTATATCCTACTCCAATGTAGTTGAGTTCTTCTTGTTGGAGCCCCGTAAAGCTCAAGAGAGTTGATATGAGCAACGCAAGGTACAATGTAAACATTCTTAATTACCTAAATTACATTTAAAAAGTCGATGTGATTTTGAGATTGTTTTAAATCTGTAGCCCAAATTAAAAATAATTTTTATTTCAATTGGCTTCTTTATTATAAATACACATTTAAGTACAATGGAAACAAACGTTTTTTTAGAATCTGAACCTAAGAGATGAGATAAGTTTTTCGGTACTTCGAAAATTACAGTTATTCAACATTTCCCCGACTTGAAATCACTCTTTCGATGAATGTGATGACTTAGACAATTGTAAGTCTATAATGGTTTTATCTTTATCAATAAAAGTTAAACATAATATTAATTCCATTGTTAGAAGTAGTCAACCTATTAGATACAGATCAAATTAAATTTAAAAAAACAGAAGTAATCAAATATTTATTAAAAGTACACCTAGATGAATATTTAATTTGTATAAGCTTAGGAAAGTTTTGCACCAAATAATTGCTCTTAAAATCAATAACACTTGTTGATTATTATAGGAGGCCTTTCATTCAACAACTAAACATCTTTTCATCACTTGCGCCATCTTTAGCGAAATTGAGCTGCATCATTATTACATATTGAGTTCAGGTAGACTTCCAGTTCAAAGAACTTTAATCTGGCCACTCGTTCGGAAAATCTGACAAAAAGCATTCCCAACATCATGGTTCACTATGTTGTATCCATGGTTACAAGAATTTATCAATATCCTCCAAATTTTCTTTCAGCTCTTTTTGTTTACGAGGACTATATAAATATCTTGGCAGTATCGACTCTCCATGTCTTTCCGCAAAATGGCAATGTTTAGTAAACAGAAGTATCTGTGGAGACTGCAGCTCTATTGATTTGTTCTTAAAACAAAGGATGAGAAAAGGAGCAGTTGGGACTTGAAACTTTACGACAGCAATAAATAGAATAATTATCCTTGATTAGGTGTCTTTTTGTGACAAGACTGCAATAAGACTACAACTCTAGAAGTAGCTTTTGATAAAATTTTACAGAACTATCAATTTTAATAACCATGGAAACATCATTAATCAAAATATAAAATAAAGACAGTGATGTATCTAATACAGTCTACTTGTGTGTCAAGTTATATTGAAATCAGACCAAAACTGTAGATGGTGTAGCATTTTGAAAGTATTTCACAGAAATTTCTAATTTTAGTAACCACGACAACAACGTTCATCGAAATCAAAAGCCTACATTATATACAGAATTATGTATCTTAGTGAAGTCTACTTGTGTGCCAGGTTATACTGAAATCAGACCAAAACTGTGAGAGGAGTAGCATTTTGAAAGTAACACAGAAATTTCTATTTTTAGTAACCACGGCGACGCCATATATTGAAATAAAAAAAAAACGATATAAAGGATTATGTATCTGTACATTCGAAGTTTCCAGAATAAATAAGATTTTTAAAATATTTTCGTATGAAATGCTATGGCAACAAATAAGTCATGAAATTATACAGGTAATTTTAGAAAATATATATTAAAATCAAATCTGTGTCTAAGCAACTTTAACGTTCAATAAAGACTAAAATTTCATAGTAATAAATCTAAATCTTTGAATGTTTCCCGTCTGTTACCATAACAACCTGGACACAGCATCAATGTTTTGATGGATTTCTGCTCCTGGATTCAAACTTTAATGAACAAGGACACCGCAAAGTGAAGCAATGCAAAGAATAACTTGAAGGCAGCATTCGACATCAATCCCAGTTCAAACAACGTCACTTCCGTTTCGCATAAAAGACATTCTAAGCTTTTTTTTTTTAAAAAAGAAGACCCTCACTGCTAAGATAGACGAGTACAGTTCTAAATTTGCAATTGATGGTGAAATTTTCTGAAGGGGTGTTATCCAAGGCCAAAGAATTTCAAATTACATTATTTAATAAACGTGAAATTATTCGAGGCAGAAAACTATTTTGTTAGATGATAAATTTGTATTTAAAAGTACCCTGTGTACTAATAAAACTTTGCAGGCGCTTAAATGACCATTTTAACTATTTAGGGGGATGTTTAAGTAAAATAAGCTTTAGTGTGAACAAGCACACTCCACGAATCGTGGTCGACCGCTTTCGTTGTATTAGTGGATGGGATGTTATTCTTTGTGTAAAATTGTTTCAAATATGAACGCCCTATGATATCATTATGTCATTCAAAATTAAACACCAAAGTAAAATGTTTTCAAAATTAGGTAAATCATGAAGATTAAGGCCAAGGGGCGAAATCATAACATGCTCGGAAATATCTTGTTACAGGTCTGTGAAAAGTGAATGGTTTTACATATATTGCAAGGGTTATTTTTTTAAAAGTAGGTCAAAATACGAGATGAAGGTCAAAATTGTGAAAACCCAAGGGAAGGTCTTGTTACAGACAATGTTCATGTAAAGTATGAATGTTCTCTCATTAACTGTTTATAAGATACGACCAAAGTTAAACTTTGAAAATTTTGCAAAACATTGAATCAAATTCAAAAGGTCAAGAGAACAAATATGTTGGTACCCAAAGAAATCTTCTTGTAACGAAAAATACACCAATGAAACATATCAGACGTTATGGCTAAGATTAAAATTTTGACAACAAACAGATATATATTATTGCTGGAAGTTGAGTGTCATTGTATGGGAATGTTATTGCTGGGTGTTGAGTGTCACATGTTGTATGGGAATGTTATTACTGGGAGTTGAGTGTCCCTCATTGTATCGGAATGTTATTACTGGGAGTTGATTGTTCCTCATTGTATGGGAATGTTATTGCTTGGAGTTGAGTGTCCCTCGTTGTTTGGGAATGTTATTGCTGGGAGCTGATTGTTCCTCATTGTATGGGAATGTTATTGCTGGGAGTTGAGTGTCATTGTATGGAAATGTTATTGCTGGGAGTTGAGTGTCATTGTATGGGAATGTTATTGCTGGGAGTTGAGTGTCCCTCGTTGTATGGGATGTTATAACTGGGTGTTGAGTGTCACACATTGTATGGGAATGTTATTGCTGGGAGTTGAGTGTCCCTCGGAATGTGTGAAGGTCAGATAATCTGGTGTCCTTCTCTTTGCAAAAATTTTACTGAAAGGCAAAAAAAGATTATTTTAATATTTATTAAATATTACATTAATTTTCTTAAATCATTGTGAAGTTTTAAAGGTTCATTTAAATGTAAAATTAGAATTATATGAAACAGAAGTTTATCAATTTGTCTTGCCTTCATAATCTTAAATAATGTTCAAAAGACTAAAGTTTCAATGACAAACTAATTCTTTCAATTACATTATATTTTATCGACTCAAATAACACTGCCTTTCTGAACTAAACAATGAATCTTCGTTACAACGACTTTGTCAGCAAATGGATTTATCACATTGAGTCAAATGCTGACTGACCTTTTTCATATTGATTGTTAGGTATTATTTACACACTGAATTGACGACGATCATGACAAG